GCATCCATAAAGATGACAAGGGTGCCTCTATACTGGGAGTGTGGTCTGCTGCCTTGTGTCATCTGTTTCTTTAGGGCCCGTCTGGGGACACAAGGGAGCAGGATCTGATTCAGCTTGTGGACTACGGGCAGATCAGGCCAACCAGGCTCATTGTAATGTCAAATAAAGGCGTTAGAGACCTTGTTGGTACAAGAAAGCCAGCCACCCATTGTCTCTGACCTGTCTTTCCACACAAAGCCTGGTACAGAACAAGGCTGGGCCCACTTCCGTTAAATAAGCATAGGCCTTGTTTAATGGTCATTACTGCTGTGCTCCATTTGAATTGGTGGATTGCTAAGCTGAATAGATGCATCTCATTCTGTGTAGAGGCCGAGCAAGGAAAATGCAATGAATTACACAGAGTAGTGAGTACTCTCTCTCCATGGCTAATATGAGCCCCACTTACAAGAGTGATCCTTGTCCCTGTTTCCCAAGACCAGGTCCCATTTTGGCACACAGCCCTGTGTTATCACAAGTCAAATACAGTTTTATTTGGTATTTTGGTGCCTAACAACAAACCTATTAAGAGCAAAATAGACTTTTTTTTTTTTTTTTTTAACATTTTAAAACAAGTAAGTTAGAAATATAAATAAAACTTGACAATAAAAACATAAAGGTATGTACAGTATATCTGTATTTACAATGAAATAGCTGTACAGTTTGTGCAAAGTACTGACTAAGGAATGTGCAAAAATTCACAACATGTTGTATAAAGAATACATGCAATGTACAGGGGAAATAGTCCAAGAGATGTGCGTAATGTAATGCATTATCAATATAGTCTTAATGAGTCATGCAGAATAAGGAAGGTCTAGAGAAATGTGTGTGGGAGAAAGAAAGCTTTTATAGAGCTTTTTTTCCCCCCAAGGAAAGCTTGGGGATGTGATAGTAAAGAGGCATGGCAGTAATCCTCAAAGCTACCTGAGAGGTCAGTAAACTCATCATGACAGAAAGAGTGAATTGTTGTTTATTTACAATTGGCTGGCCACAGGATCGCAGAGAACATGTCTTGTCAGCCTCAGCCATCCTCAATGATGGAAATTGTGCTCCAGTAATAAAAAAAAAAAAAAAAAAAAAATTTCTTTACATAATTGTATATAACAAAAAACAATATGGCAGACATGATAATTCTAAAACGGAGAGCAGGGCTGCAACCAATTTTTCAAGCGATAGAAAAGACCTAGAGGACAGTGCTCCACGCAGAAAGCTTTGGACTGCCTCCATGCCTCTCCATAGTAAAGAAACAGCAGGGTTGGGGCGGGCGGGCAGGCAGGATGCCCGCCTGGTACAGGCTTGGAGCAGCTCTGAATATCAGTAGTGACAGAGGCCTCTCTGCCTTATGGCTGCAACAGATGTCTCGCTCTGCTGTGCTTGATCAAGATCACAAACCATCTAATCGGCAGGCTTGAAGGCCAGCCACTCTTCGTGTGAAGAATGAAGAGAGTCATAGCTGTTTTTATTTCTCTCCTGCCTGCATGTACCACTGTATTATAAGTGCAACCTAAGATGAAGTTGCTGGACTTGAGAAGGTGACACGCTGCCAAGCAAAACAATTGGCTAATCAGCTTAAAGGAAAGAAGGCACAGAAATTAGTTACATTTTCAGGAGCAGTAGACAGTAAACAAAACGGTTTGTGTTTAATCTTTTTTCCATAAGCAGCTGCTACATATTCAGACATGACATGACACGCATGTAAGCTTTACACATAGAAGATGAATTTTAGCTTTTTAATGTATGCACGGGTGTTTACGGGGCATATGTATGATGTGTATTTAGTCCAATATATACTCATCTGTATTTCGAGATCAGAGACTGGCCTAGTGCTCCCAAATAACTAATAGGAGTGAACTGTATTTTAATATTTGAATGTTCACATTTTCTCTCTCTCTCCTGCCGTGTGTGTGGGATTATAGTCCTCTCGTCACTTTTAGCTTATTTACTCTCTCACTCACTCACACTCACACACACACACACACACACACACACACACACACACACACACACACACACACACACACACACACACACACACACACACACACACTCTGGTGGCAGAATCGCACACTGGAGTAATTCCACATTTGTATCAAGTAGCAGTTAGTAGCAGTCTTTCTCTCAGCATGCATGCATGGCTCACCCTCTTGTCACTATTATTCAGTGTCCTCTCTCTCTCTCTTACATGTTGAAGGCCTAACCTTAGATACAGGCGTCTTTGTATGTGTGCAGAAATGGTGTCATCATAGTTAGTCATCTTTTGACTCTCTCTCTCTCTGGAAACAATCCTCATACTAGCGCTGCCACATTGAGCCTCACTGCAGCTTAAAAGTCCATATTGTTTATGATCTTCAGGCTCTTTACATTTCTGTGAGGATTTTTGTTGAGCTATATAGCTAAAAAAAAATTATTTATTTAAAAAGCCACTATCTTAAAAGGAATGCTGTGTCCAAAGCAGCCTATTAATTGAATATCAATCTGTTGAAGTACATTTCCGTATTTTCACATCTGTTTCAAGAAAAGTAGGAATGGTAACGGGGATCATTGGTTGGAATGAAAGGTTGAAATTGGCAGATTTCATGTGACTAAGTCTCTCAGCAGGGGTTGTGTGTCACACAGAGGATTGATGGCTCATTTCTTCTTTAAAGTAAATCAGTGATGTGGCCACTCTTATCTCTGCCCTGCTCCCAGAGCTGTATCTGCACTCTGTTAGCTTGTGGGTGTGTTTTTGTATCAGGAATAAGCAGACCAGGGGGTTTGCCTCTTTTAACACTGGTCTGTGCTGGGTGATAAAGTGATTGGGATAATAATCTGAATGTGAACATTTAATCTGCAAAATTTTTTGGTGTACTGGGAAATTGAACTGCTTTCTCAAGTATTTCTCTATTAGCAAGTGGCAGCTCGAAGGCCAATTAAATTGGAGGAATAATTGAATAGTCAACAAAAGATGATAACAATCAAGGAAATAGTTGTTTTTGTATTTTTAAGGCATGACATTTTTCAGTCACATCGGCCCGCAGCAGTTCTAGCTAATGGTCTACCCAGTATAGTTATGGGAGAAAGAATTTCTGATTTGGAGTTTAATTTGACTTCTGTGTTTTCTGTTTATACTTTGAAATGGCTATCAGCCTCACCACAGCGGTACAGGAACTGTATTTGCTGTAAGTTGCTGCTCATGCAAACTCAACATAGTCTGCTGCTGCTTCACATTAAAAGCTTTCCATCGGGAACCCCAGGGAAGCTTTTATTGAGAACGATTAATGGAAATGCATGTCATTTGTCTTGGAGATTAGCTGTGCTTTGTTAGCCGCACTATTGTTCAATAAAAGTATGTTCACACAACAAGATGTGGACATACTCCATGATATTTTGTCAGTGGATTGGGTTTGAATATTGCAAAATATGAATGTTGATACAGCTGGTGTGAGCTGTAGGCTTTTAATATGCTTTGTGAAAACCAACACACTTCCACCACGTCATGAAGATACACAATTTTTTTCCATACAATGCTGTCCCTTTTAGTATATTTATACTATGCATGTATGTTCATTTCACCATGTATATGAAGCATCTTGGCAAAGGTGTGTCTTATCTTATTTGCCTTCTTTGCGGCACAAAAGATGTTATCCGGCTTGCTCATGGCACTGCACGGGTATCCCAGCCTCATGAAAAAACACTATTAAGGAAATAGGAGTTTAGGACCTTCCTTCATGCTCCTTCTCACTGCAGTCAAGCTTCACATATGAGGGAGAGTAAAAGAGAGGAGAGCCATGGAGGGTATAAAGCAGTAGTTTACTGAGGGGTGAGTATAGCATGTCTACAATAGGAAGGGAAATTTCAGTGCACCCTCAGGGAACATTGGAGAGTAGGTGTGAAATGTAGGCTGGTCTTAGTGCCGTAGAGTGACTAAACCTCCTCCGACAGACAGGTCACAAAAAAAGCTGAGACCAGGTTTGTGTGTGGGGGTGTGTGTGTCTGTCTGTGAATGCAGCTGGTGTGAATGTAATTGACCATGGTAATGGACATTACATGGGACAACTAAGGATAGCAAGGCAAGGATCCTGCCATCTGTACAGAGTTATGGTGAGTGAGGCCTTTTTTGCATGAAAACATGGTGATACTAGAGTGCTGACACTTTTATTACTGCCATGGTAGTGGTGTGGGTGAGTAAAAAGGTATTTGTCAGGTATGCAAGTGTGTGTGTGTGTGTGTGTGTGCGCGTGCGCAATCATTTATTCTGTGTAGCAAAGACCCTGTGCGTGTCTTATGAGTGTCATGATACAGTGTTTGGAGCTAGAGAGCTGTGCAAGTGATAGTCTCGCTCAGGCGAGATAATTAGTCAAATGCTGATTTCTGCTCAACTCCCATAGGACCAGTGCCACCTAGGCTAAATATCTCCCACTGAAGTGCTGCTTATGTATCTGTGTAGCTATATAGCGCGCGCGCGTGTGTGTGTGTACCTAAGTTTGTATATGGGAATGTACATAGTATCTCTTTTTTTAAGCATTTCTATTTGGAATTAGCTTGTTTGCGGTGCCTTGAAGGACTAGTGCATGAGATTTTGTACAATGTATTGTATGTTTTCATTAGTGTATAATCACCTGAAAATAAGAATCATGTTTTTGTTACCTTTATATTTTATATACTCTTACATGCTTGGAACGGGAGGGTGAGAGGAAGGGTTATCGGTTTGTTGCAATCTGCAACCGCACCACCATATGCCAGTAAATCCTACCCACTGGTTCTTTAAGCTTCTATTTTGTGTCCTCATCAACCTGCATGCCATTATGAAGCACAACACTGTTGGAGCAAGCTTTCGGCCTGCCTCCCTCACTTCACATTTGTCAAATCTGTCAATATAAGTACATGAAGCTCCCTCTGATCAGAATGTTTTCCTGACCTTCAGTCCTTTTTTGTCTTTTTTTTCTTTGTTTTGTTTTGTTTTGTTTTGTTTTGTTTATGCGCAGGAGCTCCAGTTTGAGCGGCTAACCAGGGAGCTGGAAGTGGAGAGGCAGATTGTGGCCAATCAGCTGGAAAGATGCAGACTTGGGGCCGAGTCGCCAGGCGCTGGTAGCAGCAGGTAATGTGTACACACAGACACACACACAGACAGACACACACACACACATAGCCACAATCCAACACATGGCTTTTTCATCCTTCACAGCAGTGGCCATATTCCATAGTGTAACCATATGATATAATGATGGAGCAACCCAGCGTGCTTAAATGCGATTGGACTGTAAATCTAAAAATGTCCCAGAATGCCTCCAGTGTTATTTAAGTTAATCAGAAAGACAGTCCCATTAGTTGGCAATTTTAAATATGCAGGCCTGGCTAATTGGCCCAATGAAAATATATACAACTGACTTTGTAGGCAAAATATTAAGCCTATGTTTATCGTTGACAGCATGAGTATGTGTTTGTGCATGATAGTGGAGTGTTGTTTGCTTAGTGGAGCGTTGCTGTCCATGTGGAAGGAGTGTGGAGCTTCTGAGTTTGTTCCGGGGACTCAGTCTCACTTCATCAGCTAAGGCACTGGGCTGCCTGATCATCACACCTCAGTGACCACACATTCTGTCCTGTCTGCTGCGGCTCAGACATGTCAGGTTCATTTGTACAGCTCAATACCACGTACACTATCCCTGTGGGCCTCACAGAGCCACTGCGAGGAAAAGTTGACACCAGTCTTATATTATCACATGGCTTGATGGTTTAATTTAAAGTCGTTTTTCAAAGATACAAAAGATGTGGAGATGCAGTGATGAACAGGAATGCTATTGGCATTGACCTAAACAGCTGTAAAAAATAAATAAATACTGGTGTTAGTCCAAAATTAATTATATTGCTAATAAAATACATTGAAACAATATCAAGGGGAGAAAATTGAGATAGACATAATCTAATGTCTTTGTGTTTTGTAACATTAATTCATCTGTCACTGTAGTCTTATAGGTCCAGTTAAATATTTAATTGTGAAGTGGCAAGGGGAATTACAATAAAGATTAATAGACTGTGACATTTAAGAGATAGCTTAATGGTGATGGTGCATAGATCAGATGCTTGCCTTTGGTGTGGGAGACCTGGGTTCGATTCCCACTGTGAGACATCCCTGAGCAAGACACTTAACCTAGTTGCTCTGACATGTGTAGCAATTGTAAGTCGCAGTTTTGATGGCACAGCATAGTGCTGGTGTGTGTGTATTTTCCACTGATGTGCAGCTGTTTTAGTCACGTGTTATGTCTCTTTGGAAAATGTCTGATTACGTTTAAGGTTGTTGATATAAGGATATAATGAGACCCAAAAGACTTTGATGAATGACAAGTATCCAGTCAGTCAAGCCATATTTGAATACAGTCAAGGACACATGGCTGTGAAGGTATTCATTTTTTCTGTCCCACGGTGATAAGACAACGCACCCTATCAGTTTGTATGTAGTTTCTAACTTCCCTTCAGATTGGATGATTTTTGAAATGGACTAACATTTCATATAAGAGGAACAGCACTGTAAAATGCGTAGATTACTTTGACACACTGGAGGCTTGATGATCACACAAACTACAGCAAGGGCTGTAGTAAGTATTTATAATTTATCCACTGATTGTAAACAAAGTGTGCATAACTGTTTTGAATTCTTTATATAGAGCCATTAACTAATAAATGGTCACCCGATATGCATTCTGATGCCAGGCTTGAGCTGCATTTGTTCCCAAATGGACCATGATATAATTGGGATATATCTGGATACATGACACTTGGTCTGAGCAGGGGATGTAATGGCTCTCTTTGATCTCTTCTGGCTTTGTCACAATAAGCCCTATGCCCTTACCCGATACATTTTTTGCACTCCAGCCTGCATACCTGCAATAGCACCCACCTACTACCAGCAGATTGCAGCACTCAGGAGTAAGAGAGTCCATTTCCCCTTTCTCCCTTTTTCAGCAAGGCGCAGGTATAGAGCAGCTTCAAGTGGTGCCAAAAAGGTCTGGACAACACCTCTATGAAAATGTACACAGCCATGTTATTTACTCTCATTTCCTTTTTTACTCCGATTTAGTATATACAGAGATATAGGCGACACACTTGCTTTCCTGTGTTGTCCCGTAGTCACTCGCTCCTGACAAATGTTCAATAAACTGAGTGGCACCTCCAAGATTAATTTGAGAAAATAAACTAGAGGATCAAGCAATCTTCTTTACTGAGTCTAATGACTGCCTCTAATATGAAAGGGTTCTTTTGTGTGCCAGTCACAATGAAAATCTGCAGCCAAATCTATTTTGTGCAGTGTTGAGCTCATTGTCTTAATTCACCTGTCCATCAGTGGCAGGTGAACATTTAGCCAGCCAAAAAATGTTTTTATATTTCACACATAATAATTATGGTACTTATTACAAGTATTATTAATAAAAAATAATAATAATAATAAATAACAAGGAAGACGCTTGTGTCTTTCCTACAAATGAAATTTTACTCAGAGCTTCAGTGTCCGCTTCCAGCTGTCTGACTTGCATTGTTTGGTGCATTCCCACAGATTAAGATTAAGATCCTTTTAGAAAGTCTGTTAAGTATTAATATTATTAATGGTGGTAAAATCATATTTGAAACATTGCCCATTTCAACTGAAATAACTTTTGAAGGAACCGCAAAATCATTTTTGTAACTTAGGCACTTACGTTTCAACCAAAAATTAGCTCCTAGCCTGCAAAAAGTCCCTGCGCTGGGTACTGTTCTTTCTATTAGCAAAGGAATGATCTGAGTTACTAGTGTTGTTCAGAGCTGATTTGTCAATCACAAGCCTTCAGCCTACAACAACAACTAGACAAGCAAGCACTAGTTGCCACTAGCATCGAGATTATGGGTTGAAATTTGTTGCTATTTTTGTGGATGTTATAATCAATGCTATGTTTGCTTGCGGTTACATACTAAAGCAAAAATAAATCACCCTTAAACTGGTTCCCTTGCCGACTCTGCATGTCTGCTGCATGTTACTTGTGCAACAGCAAGCTAAGAAATAACAAGACAGCGACACGGTGATGTTCTTAGAAAAGTTTTTTTTTTGTTTTTTTTTACTGTTATTGGCCTGATCATCAAACTCTTCGGATGCGAAGGGAACACATTCTTAGGTTCACTTCCTGGGACTGTTCAGTCAAAAGGGCCATAGTTACTCATTAAGTGATATTAGGCTGCAGGGGATTTTCTTGACAGTGCTGTTAGCGGTTAGACTGTTGTTGTTTTTTTTTCACTGTGCCCTTGGGTTCCAATTCACTAAACTGTTGAGCTGTGCATACTCATTTATTTTTTTAGATGTAGAAGAAAAATCAATTCTGTTTCTTTTTCAGGTAGATTTTGGATTTAATTATTTTGGATTCAACCCAAAACTGCTAAATAGTTAAGTACTTTCCTTTCACCTTGCTTCACTGTTACCTCAGGGATGCCGGTACTGTTTGTATCACGGGTCTTTCACATGCAAATGGCCACAGGACCTCTCAGAAACATAGGTAAGGGTTGTATAATGGGTAAATAATCAGGGCTCTTCAGTATAAATCCACCTTTGTTATCCAGCTTTCTTATAATCCTATTCTAATAATGAGCCAAGTTTCCCATGTATATGATGTTTCAGAAATCAGGTTTCTGCTGAAAGATAAAATCACCTTTTTAAATTACATGTAAACACGACCACTCTTCCCAATGGGGGGCCAGTAGCCATCCACCACCTCCTAGGGACCATATAAAGAAAACATGCAATCTCATTTTCACACCTTTTTTAAATCCTGAGAGGGACAAATAAAAAGGGTGTCACTGGTCATTTGTGTGTGAATGGAGATTGGCTTTAACCATTGAGGTCACACCGTTTGGCTCAATAGCTCAGCGGGATGACAAGCAGAGGTGACAGCACACTTTCGGATTCTGATGGGAGTCATTACATTTCATGACACCTCCAGAGTTGACCACCCCTTTCATTTCTACAAGCACACAGGGAGCGGTCATCAAACTTGACCTCAGGCAAACTCCTAAAAGATGTGACCTCCACCCAGCCAAAGGGGTTGATGGGAAATAAAATGCCCTCTCAGGGTTGGGCCTGTTGTTTATCGGCATCGTCAGTTTTACAATCACTTTACACTGCCTTCACCCAGCCAGCCGGTCGGCATGCTGCACGCATGGTGCATCATCATTATGGTAGCCATTCTTCTACTTCATCTGCCATGGTTCAGTGGAGCACAACTTGCCTAACTTCCTCCTTTTTAATTGCCTGCGTGCCCATTAAAATTCTGAGAGCCGACCGTCTTAAAGCTCATCGAGTGTCACCTTAGATGGAAAAATAGCAGCAGTTGCAACACAAGGTGCTTGATAGTAATGACCAGCAAATAGAGGATATTATTAAAAAGAAAAGGGTGGAAACACTGCTCCAAGATCTCCTGCTTAGCCTTGTAATAAGTGGGGAAAAATGGCTCTGAGAAAGTTGCCTTTTAGTCAGAAAGTATTTTTGTGGGTACATGCATAAATTGAAACTAATAGGTGGCTGCTAAGATGGCTTGTATGTCTGTTCGCCATTTTCCTTTCTGCCGAGGCCTTCGATGTAAGTAATCATTTGAATGCAATGCATTTGCTGCGGGATTACTTTTTATGATGCGCTTTAAAAGATAATTTGAGTTTGTTTTTTTTAACTTAGGCCCTATTTTCATGTATTTTGGTATCGAAATGACTATTAGGTACAAAAAAATGATTGAATCTATGCAGTAGACGGCTTCACTCACAGCGAGCTGGCTGCAATTGCTGCAACATATTCCTTCGGGGCAATTTTGCCCATCAAAATTACGTCCACAAAAAGTGCTTCTTTTTGCCACCGACAGGCTCTGACGGTTATATCACGTGTCTAACAAAGGATGTGTGACTCCCGGTGAAACCCTTTGTTTTAACAAGAAACTGAAGTCTCGTTCAAGGACAAGTCTCGCTCTGAAATCTCGTGAGAGGCGAGTTACTACAGAAAGAGTCCGGTGGAAACGTACATTTGTTGTGTTGGAGTAATGTTAGGAAATAAAGTCTTGCGAGCAAACTCCTCTCCCTTGTTCCACTAGAAAATCTCAAATAAAAAATTTCAGACATGTTTTGTAGTGATTGTGAGGTCCCAGACGTTTTCCAAATGTGATTAAACACTGGTAACAATATGCAGATTCTGAAAATGAATGTGGGATCTTTTCAGAAATTCAGAAGCCATTGTTTACTGCGTGCTTAGTCTGATGCATTCCCGCTCTGAGCTTGCCATTAAGTATGATCCTTCATCCTCTGACTCAGGACAATTCATCATCAATCGCCACACAGTGTCTCGAGATCCTTTCTGTTTTTGCTGTTTGGTATCCTCAGTGCTGTGGTGTGATTTCTCTCTGGCTGGACCATTATTCGCCTGCATTATTCTCTGGAGACGGAGTGTCGCTCTAAGATTCTCTCTGTGCTGGAATATACGCTGGCATGCATGTCAGGATTGTGTTTGGATGTCAGGAGACAGTGAGTGTGTGAGAATGTACTGTATGATCACTTCGGATTTACTGTAGGAGCTTGCCTCAGTTGTCTGTTCTCAGTTTCAGCTCCCAGGATGTATTCCACCCACCGGCCTTTTTTGTACTTTTTGGCTTAGCATGTTTCATTAAAGCTGCAGGTAAAAAAACAGCTTCCAGTCCCACATTTGTCAGTGCTGATGGGTCCTCTAACAAAACACTAGCTGTCACAAGAGGCACCTTTTAGGTCTTGATAAACACAGATGACAGAAAAGTTGTACACGTTAAACCTGCACTTCTGCAGTATACTCTGAACCTCTAGCTGTCTCAAACACAGTGCTTACCATCTGTGACCACTGAACGAGGAAAGCGTATATGAGACCTCAAGGTGATTTCACTTTCATAAGTCTTTCACTGTGGTATGTCTGATTTTGTAGTACATGTATTCACTTTTTCGTCTCCTGTTTTCCCCCTCAATACAGCTCATCTGAGAAGTCCCTGCCTTGGAGAACTGCAGGTATGTCAACTCAAACACCCAGGGTAACCATGTGTTTATGCGTTCAGTTCATATTCAGTGTCCTCTAAAAAGCAACCTGTGGCTCTGTATCTTGTGTATGAAGCTCGCTTAGGTTCACAAAGTATTCACTCATTTCTGTTCCTGTGTGACCTTGATTATACCTTTTTGGACAGATTAAGACCAATAGTCAGTGATCAATAACAACCAAATACCCAAATATTTACGTATTTTTGGTTTGGTTACCTCTTATTACCCCTCTAAATGATAGTGGGGTCTAGACAGTTCTGTTTGTCACAGTAATAAATGTGACACATGTAACATAAGTACAGCCTAACTTTTCAGCTAAGTGCTTTTGAATAATTTAATATTGGCAGAAAGGATTGCGTGTGTCTTTCTGTACGAGCTTTGTCATGCGTGTTTGTGTAGTGCAGAACAGGCATGTTTTACATCTCGTCAATAATCATTGCCAACATGAGCCTTTTCAAGCAAGCATACAGTTAATGGACAGCCCAAGGCGTATACTCGCCTTAATATTTGTCTAAGCAATTTCTGCCCACTCACGCACTATACCATCAGTGATGGGGAGTGGAAGGATCTCACTTAGAGCCTTTTTGTTCTCTGTTTGTTTAGTCCACATCCTTGAAGTATTTTCAGCAGAGAACAGATAATGAATTGATTTTACTAATGTATTTCATGGCTTATTAATTGCATAGTCGAACTTAGAGAATTTCTGCAATGGTCATTAATCTTTTATTGTCTATCCTGCCAGAAGAGCCTATGGGGGGTTATAGTTGTACATATGCACTGGGAATAATAATATTACGCGGTTTTCTCATTTGCTGCCCACTCCCCATTTCCTTGCTGAACACATTTCATTAGCGTCGGAACAGAGCCGGGCCTAATCACAATCACTGTTTGCTTTTTATTGATTTCTCATTGGACTATAGATGATAAATGATAGTCAGAGGTGACAATGTACTGTTTCCAATCTAAATTAATTAGAAATCAAAAATGTGTGGCACATTGTGATGGGCAACGTTTGACCATACGTCTCCACTGTCTGAGAGTTTACCGAAGTGTTACTGTGGAAACAAGCCTTTTAGCCCCAGGAAATGTCAGTGCCATCACACCTCATGTCCACTGAGAGTAGAAGACAAACACCCCTAAATGAAGGCTTTCTTTCTGTTTCTGTCCCCTGTCTCTTTTTTGTTGAGTTGCTTGTTCTCTTTCAACCATGACAGACAATTTATACTTTATGTAACATGGAAATTGTTCTTTAAAAAGTTAATATATAATTTTATGATTTTTACAAGCCATCATAGCAGAAATTCAAAGAAAAGTAGTCAATCACTGCTAGTTTTAATACTACTAGTTTTTGTCACATTTTGAAGTAAAACATCCCAGAGAGGTTTTGGTAGCTATTAGTCACTCACCAAGACACCTGCCCAGCTCTCCACTGGTTTTCCTCACACAACAGCTTGGTTTCTCACAGATGGCAATTATTTCTCCTTACTCTGTCTTGTTCCCAGCCCCTTGGATGCCTACCAGGCTCACAATTATAAGGCTGTGGTTGTTTATACTGTATGTGTACAAATATATGTATTTTCAACCTTACCAGTCATGTGAGGTAAGTGGGAATAAAATACTTATGAGATACAGACGAGTTTATTGTCTTTGTGGGTGCTGCTGGACTGTGTAAACATCAGAATTCTATAGTTTTATCTAATACATTATTAATAGACAAGAAAATGTATTAGGGCGCAACAGGGTGCTTAGACAACTGCGGTTACCAAAGCGAGGGCAATCAGTGGTGATAAACATTCAACTGCAAAATACATTTTAAAATTCATCACAGAGGCAACCTGTGTGAGAATAGACAACTCTCTTCTTCAGTGTCTTGGAGAAAAACAAAATACTCTCTCCAGAGTGGTCATGTTATGCATGAAAATGGCAACAGTGACAACATGAAATTATTTCTCTCTCTCTCTCTCGTGCACGCGCTGTCATTGTCCTCTCTTCCTGCTTTTCTTCTATTCTGGCTTGTTGGCATCTCATTTATCAAACAGGGTCAAGGCTCAGTATAAAAACCCTGTGGTCTGAAACGACACACCGTGTGCCAGACACAGATTCGCTGCCAGAATGAAAGGAAACAAAAGACTTATTCAGTCGTGTCATTACTTATGCTTAAAGGACATAAAAAATGCCTTTTGATCTCAAAGAACCTTCTTGTTTTACTGTAAATACTTTTACTTTTAAAGTCCCTTGTATCACCCACGTGAAACACGAATGATATCAAATGTGATCTTTCGTAAACGTTCTCCTCCCTATACATAGAGAGAACATTTACAGCCTCTCACAAAATTAAACCTCATCAATTCCGCCTTGAATTATGAGAGAGAGAGAGATAATATTTATTTACAGTTATTTAATGATTAAAGCTAGGGGAGGCAATTTATTTCAGAAGCTTTTTTTTATATATATTTGTTGAAATTCTCGGTAATCAATAAATCAAATGCTCTGTCACAAAAAATATTCTAGGATTTGTTGCTGTCGTAGGACTGTAATAAATACAGCCTACTTACCTGCCTGCCTACCTGCATATGCACTCACTGCGCATGATTGTGTGTTTTGGGTGAGTGGCTTTGGAGGGACCCCTGAAAGGGATTATTTTAGTTGGCTACTCAAAATCTAGCTGTCTCTCATTGCCTTCTCCAGCTTTAATGAACGCTGTAAGGGCCCTCTCTGGTAAATCAGTTTCCCATCTAAGAAATTTCCTCTGCCACTGGGACAGTACTTTGTAAAGTTTCACCTCACCCGGTACATAAAACTTTTTGCCATTTTGCTCCAGAATTGTTGCCAAGAATGGCTATTTTGTTAAAAATACAGAGAAGGACAAAGAAAGGAACACTAAATAGAAACTGAAGCTTAAATTTATACGGTTATTATTTTAAACAGGGTTATATATTAAATTAGAAGCTGCACCTATTGCAAATAGTGAGGATGACCTGCCTGAGTCCTGTCTGCAAACGGGCAAACACCCTTAGATCTTCAGAGATGGGAGTGCAAGATGCCAGCTTGTCAAACACACTAGGCTTATGTGTCAACAGATTTATTCAACAGGTCAGCTTGGGCAACAAGGCACCGGCAGCTTCTTCATCGGATTCAAATGTTATTCTCTCACCAGCTAACTGGGCTGGATTTGACAGACACTAGCTGCCAGTGTTTGCCTCCCTGTTCCCTTCCACTTGCTGCCTATTGTTCTAGTTATTGCAGAGTAACCAAATGACACTGGTCACGCTTAACAAGATTGTGGTAATGGTGAAACATTGTGCCTTGGCACATTAGAGGGCTAATTCCAGTTCCTGTTTGCCATACTGGTTGTTGTCATGCATGAAGAGAGGGGGGGTGTAGGAAAATGTTTGAGCTGCTAAACTGTTTGCAGCATAGCTGTATACGCAGTTGATATGATGTGCTACCTAATTTTGCTTTCCCAAATTACTATGGCAGTAAGATTTAATGACTCCAACTGTACACAAGCGTAAAGCTAATGTTGCAGAAATTGTCTATTATTGTTTCCTCTCAACACCAAAAATTGTTGACTGCTTTAATGACTATTTTAATCTTTCCATCCAAAGCCCAAACTCTGCAATTGTTTCAGCCTCAAAACCTCTGACTCCCTTCTTCGTTGTGTTTTCCCAGATGCCTCCGCCTCAGGGGACACCAAGTCTCGGGTGACTGACAGCTCCCAGTCGCCCAGCTACCGCATCAGGACTGAGTCAGAGCAGGTGTCTCTGTACTCCCCGGAGCAGTCCTCCCTCCATGAAAGTGAGGGTCCGTTATTGCCTTTCTCCATCTTCTGCAGCCCTCTTTTCCCTAACTCACATCTTGTTTTTTTTTACCTCAGCGCTGTCCCACTAAATTTATATTTCAATTCTTCAACTACTGTTTCTTGTCTTTTTATACAGAAAGCCCGTTTCGTCTTGCGGCTTTGTCTTTTCCATACTGATACCAGATATTTTGAGTGTCACCGATAAGAACTGATCACCTTATGAAAGGCTGAATGCTGTTGCCACAATGAATCATAGGGTGGTAGAACAATTCTCCCCTTGCTGTGCCGTTTGTTATTAGCAATGCTGTCTAGGTAAAGGTCACGTCTATTATGAAACCATTTATGTGTCAGTCTCGTGTTCCTCTCCCCTTCCCTCTCCCCCCCTCTCTCTCTCTGCATTTTTTCATCTGTCTCTTTCTGTCACTCTCTCTGTGTCTCTCAGGGTCCGCGGGGAATTCGCGTAGCTCAACTCAGATGAACTCATACTCGGACAGTGGCTACCAGGATGCCAGCAGCGGCTACCTCACCAGCCAGAACATGGGCAAGGCTGAGCTGAGGATGCAGCACTCCTTCCCTGGCGCCGGCACTGGTACCCAGGGAAAGAATGCCAGAGCCGAGGGCCAGGCTTCAGCCCAGGTACTCCCAGCAACGGCATATAAAATATATCGTTCTTGTCAAGCACAAAATGTGTCTGTAAAAAATTATGTTCCAAATAACACTAGCATATATACCATTTTTTTTAATTAAACAGCCATTGTTCACATTATGCAAGGACTCATGAAATTTAATTACATTTCTGACTATAAGCTTTTAAGTCATGACAACAAAAGAGAAAGACAAAATTGCTGGTGCTTTTTTTTTTTTTCTGTGAAGGCGGCAGTGTAATGCTTAAAGGCACAGAAGCCGCACAGTGAACTGAGCACCGCAACATAATCATGCTTCATACAGCGTTGTACACACATGCCACTGAGAAGCCAAATGGCACTGTCACATACAACAGACGGGGGTTGGAAAAGAGAAAATAAATACAGCCATTAGTAGGGTCTTGCCCTGTAATAGAATTGCTTTATGTAATGCTGTATTGTTTTAGTCAATTTATAGCAAAGAGTACTACATGATTATTAATGGTTTTATTGCTCATTAAGAACTAAAGAAACAAATGCATGAAGCCATTTTGTTTTCCTTCTGACTTGCAGGTTCCAGCAGTCACAACAGCAGTGCCTGGCCGTGCTATGCGGAGGGTAAGCTCAGTGCCTTCTCGCTCTCACTCGCCAGCCTACGCCAGCGGTGTGTCCCCCTCCCGCGGCTCTCTGCGTACCTCAGTTGGCAGTGCCTACGTCTCCCCCATTGTAACTGAGCCCAAACCGCTCTCTTGCATCTTCTCTACAACCTTGCCCTCTGCCCAGCGCACCAGTAGCACCGGCGGTGGTGGCAGCGGCTCACCCTACTCCACACAGAAAAACTCCCCTGCTGCACTGCGACGCATGGGCTCTACGAACTCACGATCCGGCAGCCGCACAACCTCGCCCTATCAGGCCTCTGCAGGTTCATCATCAGGCCGCATGGGCTCGCCTCTTACAATGGTGGACAGCATCAACCCTCCACTGACTAAGCAGCCTTCTCACTCATCGTCTCCAGTCAGGGCTAGTATGACCGCCGTGCCCCAGCACTACAGCTCCACTCTGCCCCGCTCCATGCTCCACAACTCCGACCCCTATGGACCCCAGAGTTACGACATTTACGAGAGGATGACGCGTCCTGACAGCCTCACAGGTGCTCAAATGCGCACACACACACACACACACACACACACACACACACACACACACACACACACACACACACACACTGCCATTTACTGTGTATCAGCTCAGCAGCCTGTTCAAACTCCCTTATACTCTGAGTCAGAATCAGTATATAATAGCTTTTTTTAAATGTCTATATTGTGTTATATAAAAGGTCGAAGGGCAAGAGCAAAATACCTTCTGTCAAATCAGGAAAACAGAAAGAGTACACAGTGTTTTCCTCTTTGTTTTGCCTCACTGCCCCTTCCTTTCCATTCACGCATAGCTGCATGAATCAGCTGTGTGGCATCTTATGTTTGTGTGCACGGCACACACCATAACATCACATTGTACGAGAGCCACAACACACACACATCATTAATAGAAAGGCATTCATTGAGATAAAATGCTTCAAGATGGTCATAGTCATGTAATGAAATTCATAATTCGAGGCATTATTGTGAGAAGTTATCATTAGTTATTTAGTTTGTGTATATTACCTTAAAAATCCTGACGACAAAGAAAGGAGACACTGTTATAATGAAAAGCACCTTTTAAAATGGTGTTTTGCATGTAAAACTTAAGTAATAAAATATGGTAGGTTGTCATATAGTTACTGTTCATAAATTCTTCTGAACTTATTGAGTAGAAGATTTATTTGTAACGCAGGCTGTAAATATTTGGACAGTGATACTTTTTTTGTTGGCTCTGTGCTCAGCATACTGACTCTGGAAGGAACAGTGACTGTGAGGTCAGTGGTTGTCCTGGAGTGGAGCCAAAACATAGTTCCTGCAAGAAGACAAATATTGGCTCAAAAGTATAATAGACTGCTAATCATAGTTAGTTTTATTGTTAACAATAGAATAGGAAACCACATCCTAATATAATAGACCATATAGCTACCACATAGCTACAAAGTGTTTTGGAAGAATTAATCATTTTAAAGCTTTGGAAATTTTAAAAAAAAGACTATATGGCCATTTGGTAATACTCCAGTTCATAGTTTTAATCAACTATGAACTGGAGTTCATAGTTCAAGCTTTCTTAGCCTGCATATAGTTAGTTTAATGCTGTGTTTCGGCCCTCTCTGGTTGAAAGTTTTGAGTCTGCAGCACCTCTAACTACACCAAGCATTATTAGATGGTGTGGACAAACATTTCTTTCAGCACACATACAGATCGGACAGCTAGTGGACCGTCTGGAAATATTCACTGAATTTGATAAAAAGATGTGTATTGGATTAGAATCTCATACCCCACATTTAAGGCTGTATCTTGGGCACTTAACAAGGAAAAATGAGTAGGCTGTATAAATGTGTGTGTGTGTGTGTGTGTGTGTAATTTATTCAGAACAGTTGAGATCAGGAAGATGATAATGGGAGAACCTGCGGTGCCTGCCTAAACTAGCTTGTGTGTCATCCACTTAGGAGAAAGAGGCAAAACAAGCGCTGGCTAATGTTTTCTTGCCAAACATGTATCTTGTCCAAATCTAGAGCAAGCCAATTTCTCCCCACAGCAATAGGAAGAGGCCAGTCTGGGCAGGTTCATTCTCAGCCCTCCCTTTTTAGGGACTATCTTGTAGATAAGAATGTAGCTTTGACTAATAATAAAAACCACAGTTATTACATAGCCTAATCTTTTGTTCACATTTCTGTAATATATGAAGGTTTTTTCAGCTGGAGAAAGAAATGAAAGTAGTCATTTATAACTGGTGAAAGCCCAGATCCCGCCATAAAATCCAAGAACATTTTTTGTCTTCCTCCAAAAGGTAAAATAAGCACTTATTCAGCAAAGCAATGTATTACCATTACAAGGTTAACGGACTGTTTTCTGTTTTCTACTTCATGCTGCCTGGGGATATCCTCAGATGCCGTGGTTGATGATGATGTTCAAGGTGAACATTTTTGGTTGTTGTGTGACGTCAGTTTCCTATCATCCTCAGTGTATTGTGTTTGCATGTAGGTGCTGCATTTGCTCATGTTTTATAATTTGTTCTCTGTTAAATTATTTCCATCCAAGTGTAATTTTTACCGTTGAATGCACACGTTTATTGTTGTGTTATCAGCCTTAAAGGTTCAGTGTATAATATTTAGGAGCATCTATTGACAGAAATGCAATATAATATACATAGCTATGTTTCAGTATTGTATAAAGACCCTACATAATGAACCGTAAATTTTTATACCTTATAATGAGCATTTCTATCTACATATACCGCAGCTCCTTTAACATGGAAGTTGCCATGATGAGCTGGCATGTTTCTATAGTAGCCCAAACAGACAAACTGCTCTACAAAGCATGTTTCGTCACAACGTTAAATACTAGAAGAAAAGGAAGTAGTAGTAGTAGTCTGGTCTGTTAGAAATAAGAAGAGAAAGGAAATTTTGACAAATGGATGACCTCACCTATTATTTAGCACACAGACCTGACAGAGCGTGTTGGCCACTGTAGCTTCTCCTATGTGCTTGCAAAGGGAGGGGTCAGCGGTGAGTGGGTCGTTGGTTGTAGTTTGCCACCCTCACCACTACATGCCACTAAAACTTAGACACTAAATCTTTAAGATCACACACTGTGGTTAAACTGTGCAAGTAGTAGGGCTGAGATTTATGATCTTTGTTCTATAATAATTATCACAGTGAACACATACTACCACTTAATTTGAAGTTCAAGAGTTTAGTCTGAATGCTTAATAAGGCAGAATGTTTTTTAATGGCTTAAAATTATTATTACTAAATTGATGACTTAATATTATATGTGGTTTCACTTTTAAGCATCAAGAAGGCAGTAAAAACAATGCTGTTAAAGTATTACAAAAGACAAACAAGTTGAGCTACATATATTGGATATCAACAAAAATATACAAATTGGTGTCCTGAGTTCTTATCATGTGGTGGAATAGCTGAAAATGCAGACACGGGGAGTTGACTGTAGAACTAGTAAGAGGAGCTTGTTTTGGTCTTGGTGCTAACTTGTGTGCTAGTGCTAGCTCTCTGGGGCTGCAAACTGTTCACGGTTTGACTACTCGGTGGGGCAGCACCTTTTTCCACATAGTCAGGAGAGAAGAATCTGCTCTTTATCAGACTTCAGAATTTGAAACTATCTTTTAATGAGAGAAGTTGTGACCTCCTGTTGCCATCTTGTGGGGATGCGTTACCCTTCTCCAAGAAATTCATCTTCAGATGCATTTACAGGTCCCTGTTAGTAGGCAGTTATGTCACACTGCTATGAGTGATGATATCTCAAGCAGACATAAATGGGGTTTCAGTCACCAACCTAATTCTCCTCTCTAGTTGAGCATCCCTCCCATATCCTCTTTCTCCTCTCCCTCCTGTCTTTTTCCCTCCCTGTCCCCCATACTGTCTCCCTTTCTCTCACATAGACTTCAGTGGAGCCTTACCTTTAACATAGTAATTTGTCAAAATGTTTGATGAGCCATAGAAGGAAATGGTTTGATCACATGATCAGGCTCAGTTGCAAGCCTTTGGCTGTCCGACAGCCTAACCTTGATATTGTTGTATTCTTTCGTTTGTCTGTTTCTCTGTCACACATGTGGTTGTTTCCTCTGTTTTATTTTCATCAGACTTCTATCCCTTTACTTGGATTTTCTGTTTACTCCTATCTTGTTGTCTGCCCTTTTTTCCCCTTCTCTCCCGCCTGGCTCCCCTCCATGCGCTGTCATTGACAGGAAGTCATACCTTCCCTCTGCTGCTGAAAAATAGAAAATGAAGACAAATTGTCACTAATAATGTGCTCATTACGCTCGATGTCCATTTCATAGCAGAATGGGGCGCTGAAAGAGCGAGGGTTAATGGCACATGTGTGCGTTCTCAACCTGACAGCCAAGCCACCATGGTAGTTCTAACCGTGGTGCACTCTATTTTTACAGCCATTCTCACTTTTGTGTGTAACGATTTTCTGGTGATCATGCCAGCTCTTCTATTTGTTTAGAGAGGGTTTTTGAAAAATTATTTTTGTTGAGGAATGCAGTCAGCTGCATCCATTTAAGTGTTTGTTTCTCCAGAGCATGCACGCGCCAAGCCGCCACCGCCCTTCATCTAGCCTCTGCCAAGTGTAATCTGTTAAAGCTACGGTGAGAGGGCTGAGGGGGAGAATTAAATGACTATAATGCACCAGGAATGTGGGCCATTCATCCTCAATAGACAGCAGTATGTTATTTCTCCCTGACAATTTGCAGATTCTTGCAGTGACTGCAGCCCTTCTATCAGGGGAGCGGAATAAAGAAGGCAGACGGATTAGTCTCCTCTAAGGTTGTTTGAATGTTGCTACTTTCAGGAGTCAGGCTGCTGAGAGGGAGAGATATGCATGAAGGCTCTTGGGAGATTCTCACCCCCTCACTCGGTCACAGCTGTGCAAAAAGCCCCGTTCATGTGGCCGGGCTTTACATGGAGATGAGAAGTCTCTGGTGGTCCTAGTCGGCCTCATTAACCCTCTTTTCATTTTCATCCTTTCTTTCCCTACCGCTCTTTATATTCTCTCCTGCTTTCTTCTCTGCTGCTCCCGCCTTTCCTTATGTCCTCCCACTACCTCCTCCCTCTTCATATCCTCACCCCCTTTTAAACCTTTGAACAAGAGAAGCTGAACTGATTTCCTGCCAAACTGCTGCTAGTGGCTATTGTGCGCACTGCCAGAGTGAAAGGCTTCCTGGGCTTTTGAGTGTGCCACTACAGCACACCGCAGCAGCATTATGCTGTTTTACTCCCTGCCCTGCACTAGTAGGGTAGGGAGTACTTGTTTCCATGTAGTTCATAGTTAAGTTTAACCCTTATGTCCTCAAAGCTATTTGGGTATTTAATAGAATCCATTGATAAGTCTGTTTTTGTGAACCTACAGTATATTGCAGTTACAATGGTTCATTTAGCAAAAAGCCACGAGAGAGCACACTAAAAGCCAGGAGACCTTCACCCTGGAGTGCCTAAAACCCTCTAAGCTGCTCTAAAAGCATTGCATTAAGTGGCTCGCTGCTTTTATTAAACAGTGTAGAAAAATAATTTCTTTTGAATGGCTAATTGAAAGATAATTAAAAAAATAAATCTTGATTTTCACCAAACAATTCTTAAACAATAGAGAAACAAACCTGGTAGCAGGTGTGAAGTGGGACCGATGTTACGTTGCAAAGTAGGCAAGATTTTAAACATACCTGTAGTCAATTTTTGTAATGCAATTATTTGGTAGAAACAACCACAAATAAAAAATAAAAAACACTCCCATTTGACACCATAGGAATAAAATGGCACTGAACTGACAGTTTATAACTCTTAAGGATGTCTGATGGCTAAACAGAAAGCCAATGACAAAATGCAAAAATCAGAGAACATGTTTTATTTGATTTGAGCTTAATCTTGACAGTTACCTCGGTATTAGGCTGCTTAGTATCAAATAGCTTTCACTTGCACTGAAATATTATTACACAAAATATACCCGTCATTATAGAGCACTTACTGTAGATATGTTGAATGGAATACTGCCAAACCTGACCAGGACCTGACCTACTGTTCATACTTCAGGTGAAGGTCGGCCATTTGTTATGCAGCTAGAGGTTAGCGGGGCATTTTGTCCAGCTGCCTGATGCCCCTCCACCCCACCTCCAGAGCTCTGCTTCTTAACTGCTGAAGACTTGGTGAGGTCAGCCTCAGTCTGGTCCCCTATCTACATCTAAAATATTCACTCGCCTTGCTCCCAGCGGCCCTCTACTCCTAGAGGAGGCAAACATTCTTATTTATTAATTTCCCCCGTCTCAAACTGTGACAAGAATCCCTCATTTAGCTGTTCTGCATGGCAGAGTTGATGTTTAGCAGCACTCAGCGCCTGAGCTCATGCTCAGTTGGAGAGGACCCAAGTGACGTTTGGAGGCTCGTGAAATGTGCAATGAGCAGTTAGTTGCCAACTGTATACTGGTCCACTGGGCTTCACAGTTTAGTGAGCTTCACTGATGTGAGGTTTTAACACGAAACACATAAACATAGATGTGGGTTTGTACTGTGTTTTAATCATAAAATGTTTTTGTGTGTGTTTTCCCTGTTAACCCAGCTGTTGATCTCGGGAGGGTGTAAACCAGAAGGCCTTAACCTGCCAGCTATGGGCATGGTATAGTTTTACCAATATCATGTTTTCACTAGACACCAGAACTAAATCTAAACCGCAAACATCTGCAGCTGAACTGCTTGTATATTCCTTAACGATTGGGGAATGGCAGGGCTAATGAACTGTGATGAGGTATGATATAATAGCATTGAAAACTCCAGAAATGATAGGAATTACTACAGCTGAAGATGTCCTCCCTTTAAGAAAGAGCCTAGATGTGTCCAATGTTTGCTTCAGGAGTTTTAGGAATTTTGAGGTTGGTTGGGTAAAGGAATGGGGGTTATTGAGTTAGGGGTTATTGGGTTAAGAGTCATAACCGTGGGTCTTCTGAATATGGAACGAATCAGAATATGTTGTCCTATTCTGCTGTTATTGTTTCACATGTGGACTCAATCTGAGTCAAACAGGTTTTCTTTTTTTCACCCCTGTCAGGTTAGCCTGTTAGAGAAGCTGTTTCTGTGTCACACATTTCCCAACATCTGCTCCGGCCATGCTCTGATTGGTCCACATTCTTCTTGGTCCAGCAATGTCTGCTCTAGTTGGCCTTCACCAGTGGCTGATTTTACCCATTTATTGCAGTATTTATTATGATATATTTTCCGCCATAAGCAAAGCTGACAACACCTGTGCAAAGGAAAGCAAACCTCTGCAGTGCCAGTTTTAGTAATTATCAGACATATTTTAAGCATAAGCGACCATTTCATCTGAACCACTGTGGAATTGCAACGTATGGCTAGTTTGTGTTTTTTTTTTCTTCTCTACACTGTGTTACACAGTTTAATTTCCGACTAATTACTTGCCATTGCCTCTCAGGCAAGTTCAGAAACTGTGAATGTTGGTGGCCAACTGGCCATTTGCTGAACTTTAGGCTTTCTGTTTTTTTAAAGTGCTTGCTTTGTCAGTGCTAGCTCTTTGAAGTTTGCTTTGTGTGTTAAGCCTCTGTAGATTTATGTTATGCAAGTCTTAATTCATGGTAACATGGTTTGTTACCCTCTCTCATACTTAAATTTTTACCTATTTCAATTGGTGTGATATTTATTTGGAATATATCTAGCAAAGATTTGGTGTGTAGATGGAGCGTATGCCAACTTGATGTAATGTGGATTAAATTTTTTTTTTCTTTAAATGATTTATAGGTATCTGCTAAGTTTATATTTTCAGCGTATACATCACTGACAATCATATACCCAGGCATGTCATCAATCTTTTATTTTTTTTAATATGATTTTAGAAGAAAGTTTCATTTCCATCCAGTACGAAAGTTAACTTACAGACCTGAAACTCGAGAGTGACAGAGAGAGAGTATTAGAGAGGTGAGTGAACAACTGACAACAATTAAAGGAGACTTGTAGTTTAATATAATAGATTACCTAGCACAAGCAAGTATCAAGTCAAATGGAAACCAATGTCTGCCTAGAGTGGAGATATAAAACAAAAACATCTCCCTTCTGTTTCGCCCCCCCCCCCCTATTTTGCACTCTGATATGTTTTAGACATTGAACTGATGCTGTTATTCAGAAAGAATGACAGTAAATAAGCTGAAAGCCATTCAATGTTATGCTCAATGACACTTTGACAGGTCACATGGGAGTTGATGGACATATTTTTGCTTTTACAGGGCTCAAACTTTTTACACTTCAGTTACGAGAGTGTCCGTGTAATCACTAGACCACTCTGCTGCTAACATCTTATCGGCTAACCACTCTCCTACATCTTCAGGAATACGGAGCTCATATGCTAGTCAACACAGCCAGCTGGGCCAGGACTTAAGGTCGGCCATGTCCCCAGACCGCCACATTGCACCAATCTACGAGGATCGGACCTTCCAGGGCCCGCTATACCGCAGTCCCAGCCACACCCAGCAGGGCACCCTCTACAGGAGCACCTCAGGTTGGTCCTACATTATTTTATATTGTAAAACCCAAGTAAAGCAAGTAATTTAAAAAAAAAAAAAAAAAAAACAAGACAGCTATCTAAGGATGATGACAAACACCCACAAAGGAAATGACAGTATTATAACACAATATCCAAGACAAACCCACCCCTGTGTTTTTCCTTTATTTTTTCTCTCTCAAGGTGCTTTCACCTTGTCATGATATGAAATGCAAAGGTGGTGTCTAACATTGCAGATAAGAAATAAACCTCCTGCCATTGTTCTGTGAATTTGAATTGTTTGCTCTTTCACTAAATGAAAGATGTCAAGACTATTTAAAGGGAATTGATTGTGACTCAAACATTTTAAGTGTTACCTTTTCTTATGTCTGCAAACTGCTAACCACCAAGAAGTGTTCAAAAATATGTGCAAAGTCCTCGTAGCACTAATGGTTAATTAGTTAATTTGTCGTCTTCTCTGTCTTTATTCATGTGATTATTGACTGCTGGATTTTTAGCACAAAACAACAATGAGGAAACAATTTGATTTGGTAAAAAATACTGAATTTTGAATTTTACATCTTTATAGACTATTTGTGCAGTCATTACTTTAAACTGTCAGATTTTTATCTACAGTTCGTCATCGGTACATGAGGTAATCATTAGCTACTGATCAGCATATACTGTGTTCCCATTACTGTTGAACCTAGCTGACTAAAATTAGTAAGTGTTGGAAGTCGGAAACCCCTGCCATAGCAAACAAACGACAGTGTTTTTGTTTTGAGTGTATGTGTAACTGACGAGACTTTAAAATCATTTCCAAACGTACCAAAAATTCCATTTGGTTTTTCTTTTTTCCCTTCATTTTCTCTCTTCTCGTCCTGTCTCTGCATTGTCACACAGTGGAGCCATGCAGGGCATGATGAGCAACATTTTTTTCTCTTAGAACATTTTCATCTCAAGCAGACGCAGAGCATTTTAATTTTAGTTATCTAGTACAGATGTTCCCTTTGTCCTCAAATCTCTTAACGTCTCTTCCGTTTAATCCGGGTCCTATTGACTCATGGGGAACACCATTTCTTTCTCCATCTTGCCTTTAGCGCCACATATGTTGTGTGTTTCGTTCTTGCGTTTTGCTCTTGTTTTCTATTTGTCTTTCACTGTGTGACCCTCCCTTCCGTTCCTCCCTCCACTGTCAGGCAGAAAGGGTGAGGCATGAGTTAATAGGCAGGTACTGATATGTCATCCTGCCACAAAGGAGTCCATTACCCGTGTGTCTCACTGAGCATAAGAAGAAGGATGGAGGGGCCAGGGGACAGCGTGGTTAGCCACATCCACAGCCTGCTCTCTTCCAGCTCTCCTGATGTTGCCATTCTTGTCTCATCACCCCTCCTGCCTCAGACACACATGCTTAGTTTGCACCGACACACACACACTACATTCAGCCTTTTCCTTGGCACACCAGAGATCAGCTTAGACCGATAAGTTCACTAATAAATGCTATTGATGCTATGAAGAAGCCCCCAGAGAAGCCAATGTAATGTGTTTATGGCAGCTATAGTGAGAAAAGGGCTGGAGGGAGTTTTTCAATATGGAGTCTTTTGTAAGAGCCACCTCATTAGAAAAATCCAATTTGATCCCAGCGTTTTCTTTGTTATGTTGTGAAATTAAATTTCATTAAATTTGTGCAAGTGGAAGCCAGATTTTTACATTAAATGGAAATATTGATAATTGGCTAAAAAAGATGAGGAATGGAATGCTAATGGGTAAAATTGCAAAGCCACACCATGTTCATAATTTGTCCTCCAGTGTCTTTGGCTCTGTTAGGTTACATTTTGGGAGATAACCATGTTGCAGGGTAGTGCTGCTGCCCAACATGGAAGTGCACTGATGTGAGAAATTGTGTTTTTGGAGCAGCCCCACAAGTTGACGTCTTGGTTTCTGGGAGGAGGGAGTTTGAGCACGCACATGCCCAGTCCTGTTTGGAGTCTGATAGGGATCTGACCAACGCAGCAAGTCACGCAGCCACACGTCATGTGGCTCTGGTGAGAAGGAGGGCTAAATCCAACCAGCTTGTTTATGCAGTTCTGTGTTTGTGACCCATTGTGTTAAGAAACTAGGTCATAATATCACTGGGAGCGAATAAAAAGAGGAGAGATGACTGAGGCGAGATGGTGTCAGGCGGAATATTGGACGGAAGGATGACTTCTCTGCACGTTTGTGTTTGTAATGCTTCTGCTCTGCAAGTGTATCTCTGACTGTTTTTGGCGCTGGTCATGGTTTTACCATTGCCTCTCTGCTGTGTTTGGCAAAGTTACCCTAAGAATACAGTGGCGCAAAAGAGTGAAAAGGCGGTGAGGAAAGGATTTGTGGATCATCGAGCAGGTTGAGTCCTCCTGTCCTCTTTGAAAACCAGCAGGATCCCTCTGGTTTAACAATCTTGTAAAAACAAAACAGCAAGCAAACAGCCACTTGAAGGAGAAGACTTCTGCTTTGTGGAACCATAGGAGCTGTGTTTTATCCTCGTCATTTATTGGTTCCAGATTGTAGAATTTGCTGAGTCTGTTGGAACGGCCGCATGTTTGTATTTTCAGTTTATTTTAAAGTTGGATGCTGCCGGTGTGCAAAGCTCAGAGTTTAGCTGAAAAGGTCTGCAAGCTGCTAATCTCCACTAAGACAGCTTTTTAAGCTTGCATGTGTGTTTCTCCTGTTTAAAACTTTCAGTCTGAAGGTTTTGGGGGTTTTTTTGGCCTTCAGGTGTGGGGAGTCTCCAGCGGACTTCCAGCCAGCGCAGTGCCATGATCTACCAAAGAAACAACTATGCTCTTAACACAGCGGCCACCTATGCTGATCCCTATCGCTCAGCACAGTACCGGCCCTCTGATCCCAACTACACACGCCAAGCTGTTGTCGTGGATGATGGTGCCACTCGCTCACCCTCCATAGACAGCATTCAGAAGGATCCCAGGTAAGTACTGCTCAAAATTTTAGCGTAATGCTGTGTTTACTAACCAGTGACTACAAGATGTAGTCAGTGGTTAGTAACCAGTGTAGTGTAGCAGGGACCAGTCATCCAAAGGGACTACTTGTGCTAACAAAGCATCCCTGTTCTGCTGGGTCAACACTGGTGTCCTCTTACTATTCAAACAAGGAGCCCCCTGGGTAGTAACATGCAGCTCTAGCCAATAAGCTGGCTGTACTGTGCCTGGCCACTTTACAGTACATTCTCCCTTACATTGAAGTGCAGCGTCTGCTCTTGTCATAGAGACGTGTGTAAGCGTAGAGAGTGGTTTTACCCCTTTTACCCCTGCAGTAAACCCCTGACTTTGCACATTGTGAGCTTTGTTTACACCCATGTCCGTTGATGTAGTGTAACTACTTGAAGAGAGCGCACCGGGGGGGGGCCGCCATGACCCAGGTGTTCAGGAAGAGCAACAGAGGAAAATTTCCCCTAAAACTTTTAACAGGATTTCTGTCCAAGGAAATCCACTAGGGTATTTTCCAGCTTTGGCTCTTTGTGCGGTGATATAATCAAGACAAAAGGAGTTTGACCAGCCTGGGTTCTCGCTGCACATAATTCACACTCAACAGCAATCTTATTTTGCCACCTAGTTTCACATAGTACTGTATGTAGCTTCTACTCTGTCTGTATATCTACCAGTAGAACCACAACAGGAGTATTTTTTATTATTTTAGAGTGTAGAAAATGGTTCCTAAGAAAAGCAGTAATCCAAGTGTGACCAAAGTCGATTGTTATATAGAACCTGATGTGAATGTAATTTCCTGGGCTCATCAGTGTGCCCTGAGGTGCTGAAGGTTTTAATTTTGAGGGAAGCTGGTCCCGTGTTCTTTAAGGAGACAACTTGTTTGTGCGTCTGTCGTCATGCTGATACCTTTGCACCCCACCTGTAATTCTAGGGAGTTTGCATGGCGTGACCCGGAGCTGATGGAGGTGATCCACATGCTGCAGCACCACTTCCCTTCAGTGCAGGCCAACGCAGCCGCCTACCTGCAGCACCTGTGCTTTGGCGATAATCGGGTTAAGGCTGAGGTAGGCATTGTTCCACTGTTCCCATACTGTGTCTTATTAGAATGACTGTCATCCGTACTAAACCTCCTTAACTTCTGATAATTATTACACTTTATGCGCATTTTTAGTGTTTTTATCCATGCCAATTGTGTCATATTTAAAGAGAACCTGCAGTTCATTAGAACTTGGGTTTTATTTCGGATGTTCCAGCCATTTGCTTTATTGGAGTCAAATTCATTCAAGCTTTATTTCAGACTCACAAGAGGGTCCATAGCAAAAAAAGACATACAAGATAAAACCATTTGTGTGTAGGTGTGTAGACATCAGACATCTTAGATGTGCCTCACATGTAGGAACACCAGAGAACACAAACAGACTGACGCTATGCCATCTGGGAAGCCACTATGAGCCTCCACATACTACTTTTCCTGCAGCAGAGCCAAAGATGAGCTGTATACACAGGTGTGCAGAAAGCCCTAAATAATGAACATTTTACACTGAGAGAGCACGCACTAAATTTCCAAAGCAACATGTTGGCCTGAGCTAGAGTTTACAGTCGATCAATATCATGATTTAAATCATGAATAAGAAAATGGCCACGGTATTTTATTTCCTTGCATGTCATGAGAGGAATATGACGTAAGTGAAACACAGGAAAATGACATTACTCTTTTTAGCATTAAATTGAAGGTAATCTTTACCGTACTCTGAGCACACCAGCCCAGCACAATATGGACTAAAAATTACAAGGTCATCATATAAGATAATTAATAAGAATATACTTCTTGCAATCATTTTCAGAAATCATTTTCATGATTAATTCTGTCAAAGGCCTTGGATGCATCAATAAAACACATACATATAGTGGAATTATGGCTTCCATATTAAGCAGCTATTTCTTTTAGAGCATAAATACACATATCAGTGCCATGTTTTATTTCAAAGCCAAACTGATTATCATTTGTGAGGTGAGATAAACATTTCTAACCTTAGTAGCAGGATTTGTTCCAGCACTTTAGGGAGAATATTGGCAAGGGCAATAGGTCTATAATGAACCATAATATTTAGTTTACCAGCCTTATGCTTAATAATAGAGACTAACAGTGCACCATGAACTACGAAACCAGTAAAAAAAACAACGGCAAGCAGAGGACAGAGCCTATGTCTGCAGTAATATAATCCATACCACAAGCCTTTGCTATCATCTAGCATCATAAACAACTACCATGTTTTAGAAAGATCAACATCTTCAAGTACAGCTACATTGCTTTAAACGCAGTTGAATAAATTACAATAACGCTCACGCCACACCTCGACTAGTTTGTCTGGGCCATGCGTACCCTCAGTGCTGGATGATAAGGAAGCTTTACAGGTATTCATAACTCTGACCTTTCCAGAAGTCATAATGGCTATTATTCTGCAGCTTCCTGGCAAGTGAATCAGCTGTCATTGTGCTCTCGTTTCTTTTAATAAAACGAAGAGCATATTGGATATTGCATTGGTGCAAATTTATTTTATGTTCAAGCAATGACCCCTGTCTAGGCCTTCCTGCCTCTGTCCATAACTTCTCCAGCTGCAGCATGTTGCTCAGCCACAAAATCATTCCATCTAGGTTAAATGTTTTCAATATGGCTCACTGGACACATTAAGAGCTGTCACAATATTGTCATGCATGGAACATAGTTCCTCGGGAAGAATAGCTGTTGCTTAGACTACAGCTAAAGGGGATCCTAATAAATGAAAAATGTAGCCTTCCCATAGTATATTTCTAGATTATCCAGAGAGGCATGAGAATCTGCTGTACAAATACAATGCTTCACTAATACAAGAAAACTCATGTACAACTCAGGTACATTTTGCTTGATAGAATAAGCAAAAGAACAGCAACAAGTGTTTTGCAAATATAAATTTCCAAATATAAAACTGCTATCTCACTAAAATCCCCCAAAACAAAAACACTTGTTGAACCATTGTCACCTATGAGTGAAGGAACAAATGCTAATCTGTAGGGGTGAGGAAAAAATCGATACAGCATTGTAACGCAATATTTTCCGTGGCAATAGTGTATCGATACACAGACGTCAAGTATCGATCTTTTAATATATAAATTGTACGTGAGAATTTTACTTTTTGGTACAATAATAATAAAATCAATTGCCTTTTCAGTTCACAAAAAAGAGTTTTCCTTTGGGGACAATATTTGAAGTTGGTAATAAATTACAATATATTGCAAAGTTTAAAATCGCAATAACGTGCTGTGACATAAGTTTCTTGATAATATCGTTTCACGGGGCCTCTGGTGAAATTCATCCTCAGACTGATGCAGCAACATCACTTAAAGTGGTCCAACAGGGAAACAAAGTGTGAGAAGAAGAAGAAGAAGCAGTGAGAGATTTTTAGCATCATCGTGGCTGATTTTGTTTTTTTTCTCCCAAGAAAGTGGTAGCTAATCTGTCAGATCCCGTCTAATCTTGCTCTGGCTTGTTGCATGATGGGGCCTGTTTGTAGTTCTCTTGCCCTGCTCGAAGACCTCAGCAATTACTTTAGTGAATCAAAGTCATTATATCAATACAACCAGAACTGCAAAAATAAAACCCAAATTTTAATTTACTGTAATTTTCCTTCTGACACCCAATTTGTAGCTATCCTCCAGGGGTGGCAATGTCGGTCGGTCAGTCTAGCAGCTATTAGAAAGACTAAAATAACATTTTTGTACAGACACTCATGGTCCCCAGAGGATGAAGCCTAGTGACTTTGGGGATCCCCTGGCTTTTTCTCTGGCACCACCATTAGGTTGACATTTGTGCTTTTAAGTGAAATGTCTTAACAACTATTAGATGGATTGCCATGAAATTTTGCACAGATATTCATGTCGCCTGGATTTCACATCTTAGCAGGTGTCAGTACGTGATGGTGCAGGAAAAAAGGAGCTGGGTACACCGACTCAGCAAGGGCTTTACAATCTTCTTAGAGATGAAATCTACTGCAGATTCACACACATAGACGCAAAGACATATTTACACTGCTCATTAATGCCATAAGCCAATGAAAAAACATCCATAGCATACAGCAACAGTTTAAAAATATATATATATTAATATTTAGTAATCTCTTTCCTACCTGGTAATTGAGATCTCATTCCCATTGTCCATAGGTGTGTCGACTGGGAGGAATAAAACATCTGGTGGACCTGCTAGACCACAAGGTCCTTGAGGTCCAGAAGAACTCTTGTGGAGCTCTGAGGAACCTCGTTTATGGCAAAGCTATGGATGAGAACAAGGCGGCCGTAAAGAATGCAGGAGGTATCCCAGCTCTGCTCCGCCTACTGAGAAAAACTGTAGATGCAGAAGTGCGGGAGCTCGTCACAGGTAGGTCAACATGTGTGAAGACTATCTCTGCAAATTACAAACTGTGAATCCAGATAGTGATGAAACAAAAAGCCCATCGCAATTTCAAAGATGTGTTCAGAAACTGCTTGTTCTTTTTCCAAACAGCAGTCCAAAAGATATTCAATTAAAGTTTTTAAAACGGAGGAAAAACAACAAGTCGTCACATTTTAAGAAGCTTTATAGCGAGTTTCAACTCATTGTTTAGCTGTGCGGCCCGCAACTTTACTGTTTTGGTTCACTCTTGCAGCTATTACAAATATTACAAATGACTTGTTAGCAAAAATGTACCATTAATCAAAAGTTTCTAACCATCAACCATGTTATCCACCATGTTTCTATGTGAATGACGTCAACAACTTGTGTACAAGAACTGTCTTTGACTTTCCGAGTTGTTCGTGAATTTTCCCAGTCGGGAAAACATGTTTCCAATTATTCTGATACCACATGAATACACAGACAATTAGCAACTAGCCGATGAATATAGTGAAGTATTTAGCAGCCATAGAGCCAGATATTTCCAAAAACAGAGATAAAGGAGAGTACACTTACAGATTTACATTCACCAGGTGGTGAACCATAATGGTGCTCCGTAACTGCTGGATGTATAAATAAACAACTGTTTGCTAACAAGATCACCATATCAACTTAAAATGTGATGAGATGTCAGTGTTGTGTTCACAACAAAAACAATCACTTATTGAAGGTTTAAGCAATTAATCAGGTGATCTATCTTGGTGTTACAGCAGGACAGGAACATTGTGCAGAGGATGAATTATTTACCTGACCAACCTGGGGGTGTTAGTTGGAGATGGATTAGAGATGGTTACAGTACTGTGTTGGCTGGGTTGCTCCTGAGGTTTGACGTGGTCTCTGAATGTAGCTCATGGTTTTCTGGTGATCTATGTCATGGTTAACAATACAATGTTGCTCCTAGAGATTTGGTGTGAATTAAGATACTCTGACTAAACATGGCCTATGCCACGGTAAGATTATAGTTGTCGTAGTAACTTAGTCATAGAGGCTTTTCCTTAAGTTGCCGCTACTGCTGTCACTACCGCTTATGTCGTATGCATAGAAACGACACCTCGTGTCCACAGCATTCAAATTCTTTTGTCACTTAGGCTGCAGAGAGATTTAGCGCCTTCTCTGTCTGCTTGTCAGTCTCCTCCTCTCTGCATTGGACTGCGTGCAGCTCAGTTGTGTTTGTGTGATGTCTAAGCTCTGCAAACAGGGTAACAATCCATGTTGTTTAGGATCCGTTTGGAGCACTACAGAAATAAGCAGCCAAGACATTTGGCTCCCAGGTGGCTGAGTCAGCTGTTTGAGCTCGACTCCAGCCCCCGCTCTAACACTGTCTCAGGTTACAGTCCAGCAGTCCCCCGAAAGAAAATGGTACAGCCCGAGTACGAACACAACAGAGAGGAGATTGCCTTCCTTTTCCTGTTGGTTTACTTTGCATAACACACACCAAAGGAGGAAAGAATCAACATTTTAAAAGACACACACACACAAGAGAATGACTCTTCTCTCCTCATGCTTGTGTTAAAGCCCAAGTACCCAGGAGTTAATGGCTGAAAACACCGCAAATATTTTTCTTCATTCAGATTTCTAAAGGTTGTACAGACATGTGTTGCTCAATGAGAGTAAGCAGCTTTAATGTGAGCTCTGGTTTAAGTTTTTCCCTTTCATCCACTAGCCTGCTGCAGCTAATTGGAAGTGCAGGCCCCAGGATGGGGAGCAATTAGAAAAGGTTAGCACTGCTGCATCACCTCTGGTTAATTACAGCTGATGTGAACAATTCACACAAAGAGCTTTCAGCTGCATGACAAGGGCATCCCACACCAGAGCTTTAAGTGGAACAAATCAGTCACCCATCACCAGCAGCTCCTTTCTACCTATAAAGCTCTGTTTTGGCAGTATTACATTTGAATGAATTATAACACTGTCGAAAGCTGCATCGGTGTTGTCTGAACAAGTGAAGAAGGCAGCCAGGTGTCAGCACTTAGCTTGAGAAGCTCCCATTGTGTCGGTGGCTCCTTCTCAGCTCCTCTGGGAGGTCCCGGTGTCACATGTGCTTCATTAGAACAAGCCGCAAGAACAGGCCACCTTCTGCTCCAGGTCGGGGGTCATGTTGTGGGGACACACAAAGCGATCTCTGCTCCCTTTTACCTGCCCTGTCTTCCAGCAGCTGTTGTGGTTATTGCTCTGTCCTCAAATAGCCCCTCAGATCAAAAGGCCAAACCTCGCAGCACTGCCATTAGCTCCAATACCAAGAACATCTGAAACTGACACACACATACAGAAAAGCAGTGTTTTCCTGTCTTTTAGTTGCTGTATTATATCACTCTCCTTATCTTGGCTTTACTTTGGCAACTCAACTACATTGTTAGCCATCATTGTTTGAGCTTTTGAGAGAGTGTTTGTGCTGCCCTTACTACAGCTGAATGTATTTAAATAATAATCCTTTGTTCTCACAGAAAGTTATTTCTGTTAAATAAAAAGAGTCGGCCAGGTAATAGATCGTGGATCATTTACTTGGCATACACTCACCGCCTCATCTATACTCCTCATCTGTCGCTAGAAAAAACAAATCCCTGGATCTTGTAGGCAGTGAACATAACACACTCCTCATCTCCTCTTGCATAAAATAGTACTAACTTAACTACTAAAGTTAAAACTACTTCCAGTTTAAACTAAGATTAACAGAGCAGCATCAACACACAGAGACCAGGTTGCCAATCGCTGGCATCGAATGATGTGTTTGTTTTGTTCGCGAACAAAGAATGAGGAGGTTACCTTTTGATCCAATGAAATATAAGAAACTTAATTTGAGCCAAAAATAAATCCACTTATAGCCGTAATCAGCAGTGTACTGACTTCCACTGCATGAGGGAGAAAATGAGAAACGCCCACTAACCTCAGAAGTAAACAGCAAGCTGCTTTTCTGAGGTTTAGTGGATGCAGCATTGTTTCCAGTTCAACTCCCCAAAAATAGAAAGGTTAATAAATTGGGCCATTTTTTGAAAGATCAGCACTTTTTCACATATTGAAGTAAACGCCCACCCAGATACCAGCCCTGACTGAAGTCAATGACATGCTGACCTGCGGTTTAAGAGGCAAAGATTGTCAAAGGAGCAGTCAGAAATTTTGGAAATCAATCAAAAAAAGATTATATATATATATATATATAAAATTAATAAATCTGCGTGTGTTTAGTTGAGAGATGGTTGCAGGTTGTGTTAAGCCTTTTTTAGCACAGATACTAGTAGCGGAGAAGATGGAGAAACTTCTAGCAAGGTGTCATCAAAAGTGAAAAATTAACTGTGGTCACTCAACTGTGGAGAAAACACATTTTTGGTCACTAGCCTGCTAGCTAACAGTTTATACAGTAACATGTAAATAAGACGGCTTTGAAGTTGTTTCGAGTTTTTGGACTGATTACAGTCACAGAAAATCTAGTGGGTATTGTAGTCATTGTAGACATTACAACATTCATTCAGTTCAGCTGATTATATTTTCTATAAATGTCATCCAAACATTTTTAGCATATATATGCTGTGTTTTAGTTTTTGATGCTAGACAGCTAGGTATTATGTAATCAAAATGATCACTACAGGGCCGTAACGGAGAAAAATACAGGGGGGAAAAATAAGAAACCTGTTTTGGAAAGGATACATGTTTCAGTGTTGTTCTAGTTGTGACAATTTGAATATTGGGTAGATAATCGACTTCAATGAACTAGCACTGCAAATGCCGACTTAACCCCATGTTATCTGTTAAAAACTTCTGTCTCTCTTTATGTCCTGTCCAGGATCTGAACCGAATTGGACCACTCACAAAAGCCTACATTTCCGCACCTTCGCGGGAGGAAATACCTCATGAGTGTTGTCTATCTGTAATTCATTTTCACGCTACTATCAACCTGTTTAAGCAGACTCTTTACAGGCTTGTAATATCAATGAGATTATGTCTTATAAAAAAGTTTTAACCAGTACTGTAAAGTTTTGGTTTGTTTTGCACTTTTTTTTAAAATGCAAAACTGGTGAATGGTTGTGAATAACACCAACAGTGCCAGCCAAATGCCCGTTTTCAGTTTAGTTAGTTCTTGGTTCAGTGCTTTAGCAGCTCTTGGAGACGACAGCTTCATATTGTTTTACTTTTTCTCCATCTCTGTATAGAGCCGCTCACTGTCTCTACTTGTGCTCGTCGGTGTCGCAACAGTGTTATTACTTTAGGCTTCAAAGCCAGGCCAAGGCACATGAGAATATGCCACTGACCAGAGAACACTGTTTACACACACGCACACGCGCGCGCGCACACATCCACATACATTACAGGTCTGCTCCATCTGACTGTCAGGTATGACTTATGGATATTACCGCTGGTGTTGCACCACTGACAGCATTGTCAGTCACACCTCAGTGAATTTGCCTGTAGATTTTTCCAGCATGCCACCTCCTCCACAGGGCCAGTCTGACATCCTGCAGAGAATGTTCATTTTCTACAAATTGATATTAGAGTGGGTGTGGAGAAACTTGTCGCAGAGGGAGAGGATTGTGGAGGTAAAAGGTTGGTCAGCAGGCTTGAGAATTCACGTGTTATCACTATCCGTGGTCCTATTTCAGGGCAACCCTTGTGTGTCCAAGTATCCCATGAGAAAGGCAAACATAGACCTGAATGTGCTTGCACAAGGAGCAGAGCTCGATCCCCACAGAAGGATTTGATTGAAATGTATCCCACTGCCTGAGTAGAGCAGAGACGCTAGCCCACCTGGTGCTTGGGTTTCGGCATGCAGCCCCACGTACACAGCTGGCAAGCTCCGAGAAGCACATACTGCATGTTAACTTTCGAGAGCCAAGTATCACTTAATTCTCAGCCTTGTCTTTTTTATTTTTTCCAAAGTAAAAATGAAATAATGAAAGTTCACTTAAGGATTTTAATGGGTTTTAAAACACTTTGATGTAGTGTTAATAAGGATAATGGCAAGTGAAATGACTCTTGATGAAATGACTGGAAGAGACACTGCTTGGCAGACACATCTCTGTCTATATAGCTTCTTGCCAGCAGTGTGTCTGAATTGGGCTCCTGGGCCATATTATAGAATATTATAGTCTCCATTGGTTCAATTAGAGAGAAGGCGAACAGCGTGCTTAGAGGAAATAAGTAGTGAGGTTAAGAAAGAAGTCAGGATAGCTAATAATTATTTTTATCCTCTCCCAATGACGTGTCCTTGTATACTATGTACATAAACACATATACAGAGCTCAGTGGAAGAGCTTGCCCTGGTCATGGACTAACCAAACCAAGGTTCAAGGTTGTAGAGCAAAAACCATAGCAAAATTGGACACAAGCATCATGCATAAGTCCTGAAGGAATCACACGTGGACCATTAACACGCATGCATACTGTACAGGCACCTTGTAGTCTCGTTTTTGAGTATTAATCTATGCTATCTTACATTAGACTCCAGCTCATGCAGGATTAGCCTCCTCCAAGGTTGCTTTTGCCCTGCAGAAGTCAGCCTGTGCCTTAGTCTAAGCCTAGCAGCAAGAGGCATCTAATTAGACAATCATGCTACATGCTGGCTAATCCTTGACAGATGCTGCATCAAAGGCTGCTAGGACTGTGCATGATTATCAGTGGTTACCAAAAGTATATTTGAATAGAGTGAAATGATGGCATAATTTCTAAAGCCTTTACATTATTTATATTTCATTTCAAATGATTGAGCCCATTCCATATGGATCCCCTCACTGTCCTGTCTTTTTTTTTTCTCTTCTTTTTTTCCTGTTTCAAGCTAATAATCTTCGCCCTGAGGATATTCTGCCTAGAATGAAATTTGATGTGAATGTCTGATGCCTTGATGCAAGAGCTATGGTTTCATTTGTGAAGAGTATTTCCAGTTGGGGGTGTGTGTGTGTGTGTCTGTGTGTGTGTGTGTGTGTGTGTCTGTGTGTGTGTGTCTGTGTCTGTGTCTGTGTCTGTGTCTGTCAGTCTTTGCTTGTTTGTATGCGTTTGCTTTTGTGGACACATCCACACACACTGAGCTATTAAAAGCCCAAGTTGGTGGGTTTCTCTGTTGGTTGACCCTAACTGCACATGACAGCTGACATAACTGGAGGTTTGCATGCCTGCTTCTCAGTGCCTGAGTTTGCGCGCAATTGTGTCTCCGCAGGGGTGCTGTGGAACCTGTCGTCGTGTGACGCCGTCAAGATGACAATCATTCGGGACGCCTTAATGACCCTGACTAACACTGTGATCATCCCTCACTCTGGATGGAGCAGCTCCACCTTCGACGACGACCACAAGCTGAAGTTCCACTCCTCCCTGGTGCTGAGGAACACCTCAGGCTGTCTGAGGTTAACCACCTGATGAACACACTTGGCACTAGCACCTCTGTGTGGACAACTGACACTATTACACCTAGTGAAGAATGAGCTCATACTGTGGCTCATCTGTAAATAGCCATGTTAATGTTGTCTTTGAAGAAAATCTAATACTTGAGTGACCTACCACAGACATAGACACCAATGAATAGTCATATTTACATGGTTTTTAGCATCATAATGGCGTGCATTGTGTTATAAATAATGCTTTTAATTTATAACATCAAAAGAAAAATTACATAAACTCCAGTAATTGTGCATGTTTTAGTCAGAAGCCAGGATTTTGACCTGTGTTGTCTCTGTTTCAAAGCCATCGTTATTTAATAGACTATTACAGTCAATGATGTGATATTCCCAGCTTCTCTCCTGGGGCTTCTTCCTTTGAAGACATTGTACCGTGTGTGGAGTTCAGCCTTTAATTGGTGACAGCCACTTGAAAGGAGTGTGTCTCTTTGCACACATACATGCATGGATATGGTTATTGCGAGCACAGTTAGTTAGTTCCTTATTTACTCAGCAAAGTTCTATAATGAATTCAGTCAGACCACACACTTCATACATTATGGATGGTGTATGATGACAAAAAAACACGTTCAAGCGGGACACAGACAGCTGACATTTTGTGCATTTGTGCATGCTCATTTGTTTGTTGAGCTAATTTGTGTGTGTGTGTGTGTGTGTGTGTGTGTGTGTTTTAAAAGGAACCTGAGTTCAGCTGGAGAGGAGGCCAGAAAACAGATGCGTACCTGTGAGGGCCTGGTTGACTCACTGCTCTACGTCATCAAAGCCTGTGTAAACACCTCTGACTTCGACAGCAAGGTACACACTAAGACACACACATTTGCCCACTTAGCCATGAGGAAAACATGCTGCCACGTGATAAGAGGCTCTGAAAAAAAATCCTACTGAACCCTGTTTGAATCATTTTATTGCCCATGTCTGAATGCCCCACTCAGCATCCAGCAGCAACTGTTGCATGCATTAACATTTTTCTACGGTAGCAGGAGAAATGAAATCAATCTCTTTTACAGATCGTTATAAAAAACACAAAAAGTCAAGTGGCTCATCTGTACTGGGGAGATCACATCCCATGGGAACTGGGCCCCTTCATTTTGTCAAACATATATTCTCATTGACATTCTGTGAGGCAAAGCCCGTACAGAACTCAAACAGCGTGGAATTAAATCCATTTGCTCTGGTCCAGATATTCTTTCTAACAGGAGACCCTTGGGTTCCATATCTAATTGATTTATATGCTGCAAATAGCAGGCCTGTGTACCGCACATTGGCTTTAGATACTGTGTGCGGCTGCACAGAGTTTATTATGTTGTAGCTTTTGTTATGGTGATTTAGAAAGACCCTGCTATAACTAGCCACCCAAACCCCTGTCTCCTTCTGCCTGCCAACAGATTGTGGAGAACTGCATTTGCACTCTAAGGAACCTGTCATATCGCCTGGAGCTGGAGATACCGCCATCTCGACTGATAGAGGGGCAGGAGCTAGACGGCTTACTGGGCAGCGAGTCGCCCAGTAAAGAGGAGGATTCCAGCTGCTGGGGCAGGAAGAAAAAGAAGAAAAAAAAGAGCTTGCACGAAGACATAGTGAGTTGTGGTGCTTTTAAAACAGAGGCTCAGAGCAGTATTCAAATCAGTGAAAAGTTTGCCTTGTCCACATTTTTTCAACATGTATGTATATTCTCTTTTCCTCCCCTACCTTAGTTACATTATATGTTCTGTACTTCTTTGTTTTATTGTTTTGCATGTAAATTTTTTATTTTTAAAAAGCAAAATAAAATAAAGTCTGCATCAAATCCTGTATTCAGCCTGACTAAACACTGTGGTTGTTTGTTCAGTGGGACGGTGTGGGACCCATACCTGGCTTCTCAAAGTCTCCCAAGGGGGCAGAGATGTTATGGCACCCTGCGGTGGTGAAGCCGTACTTAACACTGCTGGCGGAGAGCTCGAATCCCGCCACTCTGGAGGGCGCCGCTGGGTCCCTTCAGAACCTGTCAGCCGGCAACTGGAAGGTACCGTACCAGTGTTTGTGTGTACGCAACAAAAATACACATTCTCTTTTGTGTTTATATGCACTGTTAAATGTGATATCCTAGGATTTAACAGCTGACCACCTCTGTGTCAGTCAAAGCTGACCTCCTTTTTACACCTGGGGAAATAGAGATGGTCTTGAAGTGTGCATTTTTAGCATGTGCGATTCTGTGTGGCATCTAGACCCTTTTGAAGGTTTAATGCCTTTTGTATTTTGTTTTTGTGTGTACAGTTTGCGGCGTACATTCGTGCAGCAGTGCGTAAGGAGAAGGGGCTGCCCATCCTTGTTGAGCTGTTGCGGATGGATAACGACAGGGTGGTGTGCTCGGTTGCCACTGCTCTGAGAAACATGGCACTGGATGTCAGGAACAAGGAGCTCATAGGTCAGCTGTCGAAGCACCTAACGTTTCACACTGCAATGGATTCAGATGGGTTGAATACAATGATACACAAATACGAAGACCCTTGCTAATCTTACTGTGGCTTTGTTTTAGTTAAAAATGCAGCTCATGTTACACTGTTGAACCATGCTGTAAATAGGTTTATCTTGGCTAGATGCACAAATACATCATAAGACATGGATATAATATATTCATGTGCATTAGATATACTACTAAGTAAGGACATATATAGGATTTATAAAGAGGTAGGATATACAGTAGAATCCTTGGAAAATTGGTATAACATGTATCAGAATTAATGCAATGCAAGGCATACATTATTTTGGACATTTGACTGTATATTAATACGTATTTTCAACACATTACATCCCAAACAGTTTCATGCTCAGTATAATATACCTACTGACAGCATGAATCCTACTAAATTAAATGTAGAAACAGAACCAGGGCACGTTGTAACCATTTATTATTTTTCTTTTCATCACATCCCAGCCCTTTTTGTTCCACAAAACAGTCTTATTTAATGAAAAACAAGTTTTTATGTGCTCTCTCTGTGGAATTAATGAGCAGTTACAGTTCCAGCAATGCAGGGGTGACGCCTGTAGGCAGAGGGGGGAGGAGATGCAGTGTTGGTTTAAGGTGCTTTAGGTTTTGTGTGTGTGTGCTGCTGCTTGTATTCAAGTCCTTCAGCTTGGCTGCTCTGCTGAAGGAGAGATACGAGAAACAATCCTTTCTTTAACACCAGGATGTACACACTCCAACGTCCTTGCCACGATAACGCAATGTCATTTAGGAAAACTGCTTACCTCACTGCGGTCTCAAGCTAAATTAATATATCATTCCTGATATTGAAATGACAAAATGTAATTTAGGTCACTGTCGCACATCAACTTCTTGTTTACATTTTACCTAATGTACAACAGAAGAAAATGCAGTCAATGGCTGCATGTATGTGTGGCAACTTGCTGTACAGTATGTCATAATGTGTTATAATATATCCCCTCCTCCCTCCCAGGGAAGTACGCGATGCGGGACCTGGTCAATCGTCTCCCTGGGGGAAACACCACCCTGCTGTCAGACGAGACAGTGGCGGCCATCTGTTGCACCCTGCACGAGGTCACCAGCAAAAACATGGAGAACGCCAAGGCACTGGCCGACACGGGAGGCATCGAGAAGCTGGTCAACATCACCAAGGGCAGAGACAGGTGTGCTACAGCGGCACCGTATGTGTCCTGGTGTTTTTAGTGAGGGGTGAAGAGTACACACTGATACTAACCTGACTCGCTAACTTGTGCTCAAATGCAGTGCTAGAACACACAAGCGGTCATCAGTGTACAGACTGTCCTGGGGTCTCATTCATAAACGGTGCGTATGTACAAAACAGGGCTGGAAACGTGCATACGCCACTTCCCAAGCAAACGTTGTGATCTATAAAAAACAAACTTGACGGGAGAATGTGCGGTCCTGTAAGTAAACTCTGAACCATGCGTACGCACATAAAGAGGAGAAATGAAAAATGGCGACTCACATGGCAGAAGGATGAAACGGTTTGAAATGAATAGGCCTATTATTGTGTAAAATAAATCAAAATATTACCTCTGAGTATTATAAGCTTAAAGCCTTTCTGAATAAACAAACACCCGTTTGATTGATTTTCCCCATAGTGAGCAAAAAAACCCCACAATTTAAGATCATTTTCAGCGCACACAAAAATAACCAGATTTAGGATAACCCAAACGGAGATATCTGTTTCAGCAAAAGAACGCGTCAAATATGTTGTACAGTTTAATCAGGAATCATATGAATTAGGCTACTTGCATGCAGTGAAATTTATTCTCATAAATAAGGTGAACAGGATAAATTACATTTAAATTGATGCCGTTTTCAATGCGTCAGTTGAGGGAATACAAGAGCATAGTTTCACATATTGTTATCACATGTTCGTTGCCTAATCGAGCCAAACGTTGTGGGCCAGCGTGTGGATGTGATGCACTACTTGTAAAAACACGTTATGGAAAATACAACACTATTTTATTATGTAAATCTTTCAGCTTGTGTCATTTACAACAAGTCATATTTCTTATTACTCATCGGCAGCCTCATTAAGTGAGTGGACTGTTTGTGTAGCCTAAATAAATGTTTAAACACAAGTGGAATGCATTTGGTTTACTCTCTTTTCAAACGGGGGAATCCAAATTAGTACCTGGGTCATCCCGTCTTGCATGTGTGTCCCCCTCCAGCCAGTGACGTCACTACTCAAGAGGAATGCCCGTTCCTGCAATTCAGTTCTATAGGGGTGGAGCTCCGGTGCCCCCTTTCCTCTGGTGCACAACGTTGCATGAAAGTGCCTTTTTTTTTTTTTTTTTTTTTTTTACCCACCAAACAACTTGCTTCAGCTTCACCAAAAGGAACGTCAAATTTCGTTTTGTAGCTTTTCTGTCAGAATTTGCCTCCTTTTCTTCATGCAGTCAGTGTGTATTAATATTAATGAGGGGCGTTTCACTGACCATTTATAGGCAACTATGGGCGTTTGAAGGGTCGGAGCTCCCTCACATGCACCACATTTGATGGTGCAAGTTGATTTTGATTTATAAAGGGAACTTGCTTACAGATATGCGTAAGCACGGTTTTATAAGTCTGAATATTTTTTGGCATACGCCATTTTTGGCTTTTGGGTGTATGTACATTTTTAGTGAGGATTCTACGCATAGTTTTATAAATGAGATCCCTGCACATTGGACGGGGAGTTTTACACAAACACTCACACACATGCAAAGTATGGAAGTTTGGAAAATGCTCAATTTTAATCATTATGTTTTTAAGCTTAGGAATACACTTGAATTTGAATATACATTTTGAAAAAAAAATTTGATATTCAAATCTTTTCTTGTGTTCACTCGTCATTCATAACTAGATAAGTCCTCTGTTTATTACTTACTCTGGAAATGAGCAAGCATTAAATCAATCAAAACAATCAAAGTTGGTAAAATAAACAAACTGACAATACATTGATTGGTGTGGGTATAAAGGAATTTTCTAATTGCATTTACAGTAACGAATTGCATGTGATGATAAAGGCTTCGAGAGTCTGGAAGTTGTTGGTTTGGGTACCTTGAAAGTGCAAGCACTGCATTCAGACACACACATTTAAATGTTTGGAGAAGGAGAAGCCATAGCCACAGGGAAGGTGGTTATGTGTGCATTGAGGTTTTATCTCCCTGTGGAAATGATGGAACAGCAACTATTTCTAGCCTGCTATATATTCAGTAATGTTCTGGGTTTAAACACACAGAGGACACTCTGTTCCTTCAATCGTACTGTCCTGGAATATTTACAGTGTAAATTAAAATTAGGTTAAAGTGACTCAGGAATACTCAAAATACATGTTTGTGTTTTTTAGGTACTCTATGAAGGTGGTTAAAGCAGCTGCTCAGGTCCTGAACACACTGTGGCAGTACCGGGATCTGCGTACCATCTATAAGAAAGTAAGAACATTGGGACTGATGACAACTGCCCATGATAATAATCCAATATTGTAAAATCTGTGCAACATTTTAACTGAAAATAAAGACATGTCTAAATGTCAAAGGGTAAAACCACACAGCAAAGGAATTTTTCAAATATTCCCTCTGTGACCAAAGGTTTTTCTAAGGTTGCCACACGAGTTTAACAACACCCAGCAGTGTTCTAGCTCTTCAAACCAACCACTTTTCACCCCCTGTTTGTCCAAACAGGATGGATGGAACCAAAACCATTTCCTCACTCCAGTGTCAACACTTGAACGGGACAGGTTCAAGTCCCAGCCCACCCTCCCCACCAGCGGCATTCAGATGTCCCCAGTCAACCACGCTGGTAGGCTCTTGTTTGCTACAGCCCCGGCCAGATGAAAATAGACACCGCGAGTGAAACAGGAAAACCTCTGGAATGTAATGTCAAAATGTGTTTTTCTCTTCACAGCTGCCAGTGCCACGTCGTCTCCTGCCATGCTGGGCATCAAAGAGCATAGAGACACTATCAGAGATTATCAGAGAGCACAGTCAACTATGCAATTTTATAATTACCAAGGGGACAACAGTATCCACAAAAAACAGTATACAGGTACTCAAACAATGCACACATCTGAAAGCTATTGAAAATGGTTATTAAAACAGTATCCACTATCTGCACGAGACTGTAATCACAGGCTGCCCTCTGGTCCTCTCTGTGCAGGGCATTATCTATTTTATCCCTCATAACGCTCAGAGCAGATTCCATGGCCTGTCTTGTCTCCCTGCCAAGACAGTCTTCTCTTATCATCTCCGCCAAACCCTGCCAGCCCCGAGACAGTCAGCCAGTTGAATTCAGAGCTGTTTTTTGTGCTGGAGAAGTTCTGCACAGCAGTAAAGTGAACTAGCCAACAAGTGGTGGAAACTCTACAATAGTGCCATTGTTAGCACGACCAAGTCGCAGCATGCAGACAGGGTCATTGAGTGGGTACCCAGACATACTACAGCCAGATGAGAGCTCTCACCAGCCCACGCTTGTTGGCGATGCAGGGGGAGGGCAGAGTAAACAAAATGAACTGCAGCCTCAACGTGGACACGTTACATAGTGAAGTGGAAATTGAGTTTCAGGATTCCACCGGTTGGATAAAGTGCCAAGGAAAATATCCATCCCATGGGCTATGTAAACAACAGAACAGCAGTTGCCAACTCCATTATTTGGTGTTATTTCTCTCCCCAGCACAGCGCAGCACTTCCTGATCCTTCTCTAAATACAGACATTTGCCCTATGCGGCTGTGCATACTTTTTTCATTTAAGTGTATTTGCATCAAGTCCCACAGAATTGCTCTTTATATTTTTACTTGTTTTCCAGGGTCTGGAAAGCCTTCTCCATATTACTACTCATCGCCCACAAGAGAGGAGCCCAGAAGAACACAGGTGAATATAACCATTCTGCATAAATGTTTGGTTCCACTTCATTCTTATCTGCTCTTGTTATATACTCTTAGTTTGGTTTATTTGTGCAGAATATTTTATACCGCTGTTCTTATGTATGCAGTATTTTAGTTGTTGTTGTAATACACACACACAATGACATAAAATGATAGCATCATGCATTCAAGGGAAGTAGGAAGATGTACACATTCTTATTATTACTATCATGTTGTCACTGTGCTTCAGGTACTGCTGGTCTGCAGGTCTGACAATTTCATGTCAGAAGCTAATCAGTGTTGTAGTAGGGCTGCAACTAATCTGATCTAATCTGTTTATTTAACCATTTAGGTGATGAAATGTCTTTGTCTGAACAACTGTTTTAAAGATATTTAGTTAACAATGATTTGCAAGGCAAATAATTTTTTGATGATTGACTAATTGTTTCAGGTGTACCGGGAGTCATTCTTCAGAGTAAGAAAGCAAACTTGTAATCCCACCTTTGAAAAAAAAACATTTTCTTCAAGGAAGTATTTGATAGTATTGGTAGGGCCATGCCCTTGTTTGAGATCCCTCCACCACGCTGTATAAACCTGGCAAGGACGAACAGCTATTCCACCTCACTTGACTAATAAAAAGAGACTGACACATATTCCGCTGCGGATAAATGACGATGCTGGGAATGACCCAGCACATCAGCTATTGTCTGAGTGAGAGTGAATGTGACTGCTGGGATTGGGATGGTCTGGGTGCGTCTCAGGCACCTGTCACTGTTGGACACATCCATGTGTGCCCATCCAGATAATGGGCACAGTGAAAAAGAGGCAGGAGGGTGGAGACGGGGGGACAAAGAGAGGGTTCTCTTGTGTCCTTCATCCCATCACATTTATAGCAGTTAATGTGTAAGGACAGTCATTACCCCATTAATTTCAGACAAACACAATTCCATCTATCTTCCAGCTTTTTACCATTTACCTTGAAGCAGTTTTCTGTTGCATTAGTGGCTAGAGGCGTGTGGGCTAGGAGGTGATTGATTAGCTTACTGGCTGAAAAAAGCCAGACAAGAGTGCATTTTGCTGAAACTGCTGAGACGTTAGTATATGTTGGTTCATTTTATTACCATGAAGTGGAAGATTGGTTTTAGTGGTTGATTAGAATTCTATGGCATTTCGGGAAATATACTTATTCGCTTTCTTGCTTTCAGATTGGAATATAATAAAAAACTATAGGCTTTGCTTGGCCTCTAAAAACAGCTTTTTTGTGTGGGTGTTTAATGGAGAGACACACGATAAAGTTATACACATTTAATAACAAACTGGATAAAGCCATGAAGTTCATAAAATAACTCCAGCACAGAGAAATCAACGCAAAAATAAAACCGCAACAGTTTGGAAGGTTAGTAAGTTATTACAACATTTCCGGCCGACAAGAGCTGCAGATCAGCTGCAGCACTTGTCTGTGCCCGCCTGAGCGTAGGAGGAACGGGATCTTTAACAAGCTGTTCCGCTTGTTTTGGAGAAGGAGACCAACTTTGGCTCTGATGAAAACTTAAAACAACAGCTTCGGACCCAGTATTTAGCTAGGCTACTTCCATCAGCTGTTTACTGTAAACACACTGCTGCATGCTGGCTTCTATTTCCGAGCAATACATTTAAAGCCAATCTCAGTCGGACATTGGCGAGACTTGTGTGGATAACAAACTGGATAACGCCATCAAGTTCTTAAAATAACTCCAGCACAGAGAATGCAACACAAAAATAAAATTGTGACAGTTTGGAAGGTTATTAAAACATTTCCAGCCGACAAGAGCTGCAGATCAGCTGCAGCATCACGTCTGTGTTCGCCTGAGCGTCAGAGGAACGTGATTTTACGAGCTTTATTACCTGCTGTAATCAGCTGGTCTGCAACTTTGGACCCAGTATTTAGCATAGCTTCATCAGCTGTTCGCTGTAAACACACTGCTGCACGCTGGCTGCTTTTTCCGAGCAGGCACATGCCTTTGGTGTGAGAGACCCAGTTTCAATCCCCCACTGTGACCCATCAACCAATGTGTCCCTGAGCAAGACACTTAACCCCTAGTTGCTCCATGAAAGCGTCAGCTAAATGAATAAATGTAATGCCAACGTATGATCTCAGGCGGACATTGGCGAGACTTTAACAAGGTTGGAAAAGAGAGGAGCAGTCTTAGAAAAATACCCAACATTCTCCAGTTAAAGCTAGTAGCCTCTACTCGCCCATTCAGAAATTCACTGCAAGGCAAGCCGTTACTTTCGAAAAATACTGACCCCCGAGCAGGGACTTTTTGGTGGGTAAATAAAGACCCTACAAATAAATTTAGGCCCATTGTCCCTTCGGTGGAAACAGAGTTCCTCAAAGGTTCCTAGTTCCAGGGTATAGTTCCTTCGGTCGAAACTCAGCTTATAGTACACACATGGATCATGGATTTCCTGTGTGTGCCCCTCACAGTATAGAGATAATTACATATAGTAAATGTATTGAATTGCTAAAAAAAAAATGGATTTGATTTTATGATTTGAATTCATTTCATTATAACCTTTAGTACATTGCTTGGGTAAATGTAGTTAGTTGGTTGCCACTGTTGCCTCTTGGTCTTATTTCCATGAAAATCAGTTAATCATACCCTACTTGTCTCTTTCCCTTGCAGCCTATGTATTATACAGAAGACCCGGGCAGGAGAAACTATGATACTTACAGAATGTACCTGCAGCATCCCCACGGCTACGACGACCCGTACTTGGAGGAGGTTATCGCCTACCCACCCTCAGTCGACTACAGCTCCCAGACTCATGGACTGAAATCCACCACCAACTATGTGGACTTTTATGCTAGCACACGGAGGCCTTCCTACCGGGCAGAGCAGTACCCTGGCTCTCCTGACTCCTGGGTATAGGTCTGGAGGTGCCTCCTGTGTTACAATCAAAAACCTTTCATCCCTGATTTATCATTTAGGGGCGGGGCGCCACGAAAGCACCAACAGACTTTTTCATGAACTTGGCTTTATAAGTGTGTTCGTTTTAAAGTGAATGAGTGTGTATGGAGGGAGAGTTCAACTGAGCGATGGCAGATGGAAAGATGGAATGTGTGCCAAAGAAGGAAATCAAGGAATGTTTTTTTTTATTTTTATTAATTATCATTATTTTTTTATTCAGTAGAGAAAGATGGAATCATGCTGGGTGTCTGTTGCAGGACGATACTGGACACTACCGTGAGGAGACGCGTGTCCTGTTCTGTCTAGATTTTAGTTTTATTTTCTTTATGAAACTCGTAGCTGTGATAGCATGGTGAAAGGCGTGAGTCATGTGAGAGAGGGTCCGTGGTAAGATGTCAAGATGGGGAAATGTGTATGTGCCGAAGCCAAAATGGATCATGAACTCATATCTGTAAAAAATAAAATAAAAATAGTAAACTAATGTTAGATTGTACAGAGGGATCAAATTGTATCTGTACTTAATGTTGAAGCTGTGTAATGCCATGGAGTCTTGTACATTTCTTTCATGTTGTTGTAAATACAGAAAAAAACATGTTAACTGGTTTACACTCATCAGCACTGGTTATAAAAAAAAAAAGAAAAGAAACTTGTGCCATGTTAATTCTCTATAGATATATAAATATATGAAGAAATATGTGGACAAAAGATGGCATCATAACACAACCATGCTAAAATAATAAAAGGTCAGTTTTGTTTTTTAAAACACATTGTGTAATTGCATCTTTCCACACGTACAGTGCTGTTTTCTATGCACAAACAAAACGGTAATGTTTCATTACATTGAATTTACACAAACATGAGTAGTGGGAGGCCAGCTTCAAACCAGCAGACCTGTTTCATAAAACTGCTCTGTATTTAAGTAGCATTAAATGGGAATACTTAAGCACAGCAGCAGTCCCTCAAATTTGTGGTTAAGTGCAGTATTTGAGTAAATTACATTGAGTAAGTTACATTTCACCACTGAATTACACACACGTTTACACACCCATAGGTGTTTTCATGTTCGACATATTCCTGATTCACCTGTTGTTGGGGCACAAGTTGAGTAACTTTTTAGTATGAGGAGGGTTTTAACACTCAGCGAAGCTCCACTCAACCTCATCCTGAAAAGAAGTCTATTACTCAGCCAGAACAGCTGGACATACCTGTAATGATCTATGGATTTGTTCTCATACCATATTGTAGTTCTAAACTGGGCTGTGTTTTGTCCTGACAAAATCTATTTAAACAGAGATGGTGGTGCCCTGTTGATCTATCTTAGTTACTGTCAGTCACAGTAGTGACATAGTAGTGAATGCAATAATACAATTGTTATTAATATTAATTATTAATATTATTAATAATATAATCAACAAAATGTGCTTCAACCGTGAGTGTGTGTGTGTGTGTGTGCTTGTCTTGCACTGTCACAAAACATTAGCACTAACAACTTGCATGAACAACATCTACATAGACACACAATAAACTTGATTTAAGTTTGAGTAAAATTATTAATTTTTTTTTTTTAATTACCTACTGTTTCATTTGGAAAAAGGACTAAACTGAGCATGTGCAGAGTGAATCAGGTCATTCATAAGTTGTCCCCTGTTTGGCATTTTGTCTGTCGCTATCTTGGAGTTTTTTTTGCAATATTTGGATGAGACTGTGGAGCTAGCTAGCTTGGTTAGCAAGGTACAGCGGTAATTCCCGTTAACTGATTTTAACCAGGATAAATTTGGCATGCAGGAAACGGACTTAAAACAAAATGAACTCTGCCCTTGTGGTCACACAGTCCTCTGCAGCCAACGCAGCAGACCTCCAGCAACAACGGCAGAGGAAACCGAAGTTGTCAGACTTTCATACCGCTATTCTGTCTTTACACTCGGAGTAATGTTGAAACGTTTTAACTTAAATCAAGAGACAAAAGCGAGTCAAGTAGAATAAAGTAGAGTTGAGCTGGTACCAGCAGTGGAGAAATGCCATTAGTAATTATGGTCCCATTCAGAGGAAAATAGCCCATAAAACAGGGAATGCTTTAGGGTCTGTGAGCATGACTGTCCGGCTTGCTAGCTACCCCCGCCGGTGTTATGCCGAGTTTTGCCTGCCTGCCAAGAATTGCATGCACCTCCAAATACTGCTTTTAAACGCTATGTGGGGTTTATCAATGGTGATAAATGATTCAAAGTATATATTTTATGAACGTTTAGAGTCTTTAATATTTTAATACACTTAGTAGAAGTACCATCCCTTGACATTCAGTAAATATAGCTTATGTGGTGATAACGCCGTTTGATCAATGACCACAGCAAAATGTCTGACAAGGACCTAAAGAGGTGGATGCATAATTCGGCAGATCATATTTTGTAGGCTACCTGCTGAGATTTGCATCCACCTCTTTTCTCAGCATAAATGACCGTTATCACCCGCGAGGCGCATGCAGTTCTCGGCAGGCAGGCAGAATTCGGCACAACACCGGCACCTCAACTCGATCCGCCATCATTTTTTTGTAAAACTGGCAATATTGGAAATCTACACAGTTGATTTCTCACCTCAAAACTCAGAAGTGGATTTAGTGTAAAATATAAAACACTGGCCTCCCTCTCGCGCTCGCAATGACGAAGCAGTGAAAAGTGACGATTCTCTCTAACCGATCAGTAGTGTTTTCACGTCATCTTTTGGTATCGCCTCAGCTCGCCTAGAACCTCGACAGGAGGTGATATGAAAAAAAGCAGCAGGTACCAGGAACAACTTTTCCCTAATGGACAACCAAAAGAGACGAGTAGGGGCGAGTCGAGCAGGTACTATGCAGTGGTAAAGGGCCATAAATGGACATCGTGCTGTGGAATGAGACTACAGACTGAGACCAGAGTGTTTACTGAGGTAGGGGAGAGCAGGTGAGTTGAGCCAATTTTTACTTGATGTGTCAGAAATAAACTGTTTTCAAAATATGGCTTTCCAAAATAAAGTGGACTCTTGGCTCAACTTACACTATATGAGGGGTGAGTTGAGTTGAGTCATTTCATCATACAAACTCGAATGCCATTTCCCAAAATTTAATTGCATTTAGTAGTGAAACATTGCAGCTATGTCTCCCAGTTTTTTTGATATCAAGGTATCACTTTAAAGCCATCCTGTTTATGGTCATGTCCTGTGCCCCCTGATGTATGGACTTCACATTTTATACCTCTCCCACTACTCTGTCCAAATACATAAGAGGAGTTGAAGCCTGTCTGTCTTCCATTTATAGAAGCATGACATGATCACGCTTAGACCAGAATCTGGTCTAAAATTATGTCACATCATTTCGGTGATGCATGATAATGCAATGTAAAATAGCTGTCTCTACTTCCCCCAGGTCTTTAAATGTGTATTCATATAACCAATTTTGTCTATGGGTTGCAGAGAAAGAAGGGGTGGCTCAGCTTCCCCCCAGGCTCAAATCACCCTGCTCTCCCCTAATGAGTCAAGTCATTTTGCTATTATTTCTAATGGAACCTGAATTCTTTGTGCAACCAGCTGAGTCTCTCCCTGCTGGCCGTCAGAGAGAATGCAGGTTTAAGGGACTTGCATTGAGAATATTGTCCGCATTTGCTTCACTTTTCAGACCAGAGGTTCACGCTTGGTTAGTTACAACCATCCCCGGTCTCCCCTACCTCAAAGCACGTTTCACAACGTTAGGTGGAAAAATGTAGTTCAACCTTTTTTTTTTATACAGTCTGTGATTTCAATCCGTGCACACAGTTTTCAGAGTGAACGCGCCCTTGATATCTTATTATTGTAATAAGAAAGTAATGTGTTGTTGTGCATCACTGAGATTGTGTTTTTGTAGGTATGTTGCGCTGAGTTTTATTTATTTTAATTCTCCTTAAATAGTATTAAACTTTATGTTGATATCGCCATTGTATGATTGATGAAATAAAGGTGCGTCACCGAGACTGTGCGATTTTATATTTTCAAAATAAGACAGGTCTTTAAAAGGGGAGCATTTTAAATACATGTACACAAATACACGAGTATTTCTCAGACATTAATTGGATTTAAATGATCAATATGAAACATTGTGTCGCCATTTCAGTTTCACTTCATTAATCAAAGCAGCCAGTGAAAGATTGAAACAGGCGTTTCCCCCAACTGCAGGCTTCCTGTAGCTACACAGGATGACGTCATCTCTGTTTGAGCATAAAAACAACCAAGTGGGCGTCGAGTTTTGTGCCTTCTTTGCTTTTGTCCGTAAAGTTTTGAAAATGGTGCAACAACTCTCCAAATCTGGAGCGAAGGAGACTCCTATGCTGAAAGCTGGCCACCCTCCAGCAGGTAAACTGTTCACGCTGACTTACAGCTGCACTGTTGAATGTTTTACTACACAAAAGCCAAAGCGTTGGTGGTTTTCACCGCTCGACACAGATAAAGAGACGTGCAGACCGAGACGTTGAATCAACTTCTCTTCAGCGTTTTACCTTCATTTATTCTGCTTTTTCCCCCTTCCTGTTGTGATACACAGGTGCATTGTAATCGTATCGCGGGGAAACTAATTGATTCGTCGGTGTCTGTAATAATGCAAATTGCATCAATCGGGTTGAGTTTTTGCAAACCTGATAACGTTAAACCCTCATGCTTTCTGTTCTGCAACAGGGCCTAAAAGTAACACCGTGTTCTCACTGGTTAAACCCTTATACAAGCGCAATTGAATGCATGCGAAATCCTATCGTTTAAACGGGCTGTTATTAGAAGCATTTTGACATTGAAATTATTTATTGTTTTGGGGGGTCTTCTTAACGCAATTTTGCTTGTATAGCCTACTTGTACTGTAGCTGGGGTGGGCACTTTATTTCAGAAGTGTGTGTCTCTGTGTGTATCTTTGTATATATTTTTTTTAATACTTATTGAAATTCTCATTGCATCCTAACATCAATGAATAAAATCTCTGGTCCTACATCCTTTTTTGGGAAAACGCTGCAGACCACTTGCTCAACTTGGACTCTAGTCACAAGCAATGCCCTGCTACCTTTTTATCACTGTTTTTAACAGTGACGTCACCCTGCAAAAGCAGCAGTCAGTGCTGGAGTTTCTTAACTTATGTTGCTGTTGATGCATTTTTTTTGTTTGGTTTTTTTAAGGGATTTTGTTTTTCCATGTTCTGACAGAAAGGGGTCGAGCTCCCCAGCATACTATAATCTTTAAAACCTTTTTTTTTTTTTTTTTTAACTTTTCTTCTCTGGGTCAATAGTGAAGGCTGGTGGTAAACGGGTAGCCAAGAAAAGCTTGGAAGAGAGTGGCACCCATGGGACTCCAGAGAAGGAGACTAAGAAGCCTGATAAATTGAGGTAGGCCTGCAGTCTGCATCTACATGTTTAAAATCCAAGGACATAGAAATGGCTTCACTCCTTATGTCACAATTAGCAATGGGAATAACCGCTCTTAGGGCTGTGTTCCTTTACAAGAGCCGGCTCTTCATTTAGTACCACTTCTGCTCGTTACACTCTAAATAAGAAACTTTTGTTCTTATTTGTTGCAAGTAATAAATCTGCAAGTTTTATCATCTGGAATACTTAATCTGAAATTTTCTGTCTTATTGATGGTTAAAAAGTGTACTAGGTCAAAAATAATCAAACCCAGCTCTAACTCGGGAGCCTGCTCGTAGTTCACGACAGATGCATCACTAGTCAGAATGTCCAGCAGCATTTTGAACATGTAGATTACTGAAAGTAAATCTCTTGTATTTGAAA